GCCTTCCCAGGCTTGCCCTCTGGGTTCTCTTCTGCTTGCCCCCTCTACATGAGGGAGAGCTTTTATCTTTGCTTCACCTGGGAGTGAGTATTTTAGTTACTTTTCTATTGCCATGACAAAACACTATGAGCAAAGTAACTTATGAAAAAGAAAGCATTTAATTTGGGGCTCACGGTTCCAGAGGACTAGAGTCTATGACCATCATGGTGGGGAGCATGGCAGTGGTCAGTCAGGCAAGGCACTGGCACGGCCTCTGAGAATTCATATCTGATCCACAAGCATGAGGCGGAGAGAGCTAACTGAGAAATGTACCTCCTCCAACAAAGCCATACCTCATTCTCTCTCTCTCTCTCTCTCTCTCTCTCTCTCTCTCTCTCTCTCTCCCTCCCTCCCTCCCTCCCTCCCTCCCTCCCTCCCTCCCTCCCTCCCTCCCTCCCTCCCTCTCTCTCTCTCTTTTGATTTTTCGAGACAGGGTTTCTCTGTGTAGCTTTGGAGCCTGTCCTGGCACTCGCTAGGTAGACCAGGCTGGCCTCGAACTCACAGAGATCCGCCTGCCTCTGCCTCCCAAGTGCTGGGATTAAAGGCGTGCGCCACCAACGCCCGGCTCATTAACCTTCTCAAACAGTTCCACCAGCTAAGAACCAAGCATTCAAATATATGAGCGTATGGGGTCATTCTCATTGCCTTTGAGAGGTCACAGCCTTGCCTCACTTCCGGTTTGCTCTTCCTGCTTCCTGTTTGTGGTGAAAGATGAGATTTTCAGCTTCCTGCTCTTGCCACAATGACGGCCACTTGACGCAGTGAGGGACTCTTATCTCTCTGGAACCCAAGTAAACTCTTTTTTCCATAAGTGGCTTTGGGTGTTGTGTTTTCTCACAACAGAAAAATAACTAATACAGTGACCATCATTGTGATCTCCTTCTGTGACATTTTCATCATTCAGAACAAAAACAAAAGTCACCACCACCAAAAAACCCTTTAGCAGCCACTAGTTTATTTATAACTCTGCAATTTACCTCTCTTGGGCATTTTATATAAATTTTATGTAACTCTGCAATATGTGTCTGTCTTTCACCTAACATAATGTTTTCAAAGTTAACTTATGTCGTAGAGCTTCTGTTTTTCACATTTATTCTCCCCGCCTCCTCTCTCTCTCTCTTTTTTTTTTTTTCCGAGGCAGGGTTTCTCTGTGGCTTTGGAGGCTGTCCTGGAACTAGCTATTGTAGACCAGGCTGGTCTCGAACTCACAGAGATCTGCCTGCCTCTGCCTCGGAGTGCTGGGATTAAAGGCGCCACCAACGCCCGAATGTGTGTGCATGTGCCGCGGGGTGTATGTGGGGGTCAGATGGCAACCTCTCCCCTCATTCTCTTATGTTTTCTAGGAATTTTGTGCAATGCGCTTTGATGATACTCACTTCCTCACTCCGCCCCGATCCATCTTCCCTTTTAGCTGACTCAACTGTGTCCTTCCCCGACCACCAAGTGCAATGTGTACGGCCAGTGTACTCTTTGGTATGTGCGGCCTTCCCTGGAGGACAGTCAACTCACCAGGCCACACCTTAAACGCACAGCAGCTAAAAGTGGCTGATAGCTCTTTATCTAGGGGTGGGACTTAATGCCCACCTCCCCTCTGTATGCTGGGGGTTTTGTCTGATGGGAGTTTATGCAGGTTTTCTACATGCTGTCTCAATTGCTGTGAATTCCTATGTGCAAGTGCCCTGCTGTGTTCAGAAACACGATTTCCTGGCAGTCAGCCATCAACTCCAGGTCTTATAATCCTCCTGCCCCTTCTTCACTGGTGATCCCTGGGCCTCGGGAGGAGGGGCTATGAAATAGGTGCCCTATTTAGGGCTGAGCCTTCTTCAGTTTGCTATTCTCTGTGCCCTGACCAGTTAGCTGTAGGTCTCTGTGTGCATTGCTATCTATTGCAAAAAGAAGCTTCTCTGCTTAGGTTTGATAGATACACTAATCTAGGGAAATCAGTTTAATACTATGTCTATTTAGCAGAGTCATAGCGGTAGGCTCTCCTGTGACTGGTCTAGTCATAGGTTCATGGCCCCAGGAATGGTGCCAGGTATGGGATTAAACTCGTGAAGTGGGCCTTAAGTTTAGTAAGAAAGTGGCTGGTTACTCATGGTACTAGTCACTAGTGACTCTTGACAGGTCAGCCATTGGTGTAGCTCACAGGGTTCACAACTAGCTAAGAGTGGTTGGTCATTCCTTTCTCCTCTGGTAGTGTGCATAGCACCTTCCAGCTCCATGAAAGTTGTGATGCCTCCTTTTGAGTAGCACCTTGATGTTTCCTTGTTCTATGACTCAAGAGTGTGGTATCTTTAGCCACAAGGTAAGGTCTTACCATCAAGTTTTGGAGGTAACCAAGAGCATTGGAAATATTCTGAAATAATTGGGGGGTCCATGTCACTCACTTGCCAACAGCTTCAAAAGACGTAACACATTCCCAGCATCAGGTTTTTGTTATCCTGTTGAGTCTAGTAGGGCATTTTTGCCCTGCAATAGGGTAATTCTAAACTCATATACGTATATGTATGTGTGTTAGAAAGAAAGCTTCTACAGTAAGGAGGCTCCTTATGAGTTTTTCAAAATATCTTCAGTGTTATCCCTCCTGTATTCCTTCTGCTATCCTTTCCTCCAGTCTGCTTCTCAGAGGACAGCTTGTGGAAGTCAGTTCTTTTTTTTCCAACATATGGATTCTGGGAATTGAACTCAGGTCTTCAGGCTTGGAGGCAAGTGCTGTGGTGATATATTATTTATTATTTATTAAAGCTTGTCTGAGGGCACAGAAATCAAAGCCAGTCTCAAGCTAGAAGGATCAGGCAGTGGTGGTACACGCCTGTAAATGCAGGGCTCAGGATTAAGAGGTAGACAGATCTCTGAGTGCAAGAGCACCCTGGGCTACTGGAGAGTGAAAGATAGCTCATGCCTTTAATCCCAGGATTTGAGAGGTGCAAAAGGTAGAGGCATTCAATCTGAGAGCTAGTCTCTAGCCGCGTTGAGGAGCACAGCAGTCTGAGAGGATCTGAGGAGCAGTGAAGTCTGAGTGTAGCTAGAGGTAAGACATAGTGGCCGACTGCTTTGCTTCTCTGATCTTCAGCTTGAAGCCTGAACCCCAAGATCAGTCTCTGGATCTTTTATTTTTCGTGTTACAAAGTGACTTTACCAGCTATGTCACCAGGCCACTCCCCGCCGCCTTTTTGGCAAGGTTTCTCCATGTAGCCCAGTTTGGCCTCCCTGACTCAACCTTGCTAACACTGGGATTAAAGGCACACCATCACATCCGGTTTCTGGTTAGCTTTTTAAGGGATTGACAAGTGGTTTCCTCCTGTCCAACAAGACTTTCCTTTTTAGCTCATCGGGTGCAGGGCTGAAGCAGGACAGAGCTAGGCTCACTCAAAGGTGGGGAGAGAGAGTCACTGGGATAAAACTGTAAAAGGGGCAAGAGCATGAACAGCACAGTGGAGAGTGAAACTGGTTATGTCTGTCTCCGAGGAATTCCAATCAGACTTTAGAAAATATTTGTTTAGTGTACAAGAATCAGTAAGGCCAGGTAATATGTGGGGTTTAACATTCAGTTTCTATTGCAACAACCTTGCTGTATAGGTCCCAGTGTTCTGACCTTTCTCGTAGAAGAGAGAAGGCAAGAAAACAACGACAAAAAATTGGAGGCTGGGGTGGTAAATGTATTATTTCTGCGCTATGAGGGTGCTCATAGTGATTATATCAAGTGTTTGATAGTAGGCAGAGAATCTGCATATCTCACATATTGCTTCAGGAACATGAAGCTTTGTCCCCTTAATTCCAACTTCAAAAGACAGAGATGGTCCCAGGGTTGTGTAATGGGATGCCTGGCTCTGCATAGATACAGATACCTTGAGCCTCATTTCTTAGTTTGGAGGTACCAGGCTCTGTGGGGATAGGGAAGGTCTTCTTCCCCTAAGGGATGTAGAGTCTGAGTCCCTGGCGTGGGATGTCCCCTATGGCATGACAATCACTGAGACTCACAAAACCAGGTCAGGTGTTTATTGAGGCACTGGAGCTAATTCTTTGTGCTACAGGCCTTTAGATGGACAGGATTTCAATGTGGAATTCTGGCTGCTTGGAAACAGCTTCGTATTGGACCTGAAAAATATCATCGTTCTGGAAGGTAATGCTTCTATCGAGGGACTGGACCACACAGAGCGTGTTGCATATTTGACTGAAATACCGACGGCACTGCCACATGCGAATCCAGGCCTGGAGCCTGACGGCCGCCTCTTCCTCGATGGCATATATTCTCAGCAGGGCCAGCCGCCGTTTAAGAAGCTGCCTGTGCAGGATGTTCCTCCACCAGCACTGAATCACCCAGGCATTGAGGGCAGCAGCCAGCAGGGTTTGCCTCACCAGGAATCCGCGCCACAAGGCCTGGATCTTACTGGCTGCTTTGGTCCTTTTTAGGTGGCGTAGTTTTGGAGGATGGCGCTAACCAAGCAAAGGACAGGACACTCAGTGGATGGGGAGATACAGGAGAGATGGATAGAGTTTTTGTCTCCACCACTGTCTTGTCCATGGCCCATCTTTGAGCCACAGTGGCCTTCTCTATAAAGTGAGGTATGCTCATACTGCGGTGTTCACAGGGGACCCAGGGGAAACACTTTCCAATCCTGAAGACCTTATGAGGACTTCGTAAAGAAGAATCATAGGATATCAGCCTGCATCTCAGTTCTGAACCAGCCCACAATTCTAGGTTCTTCTCTCACGTCATTTCCACCTCGATCATGCGGACCCATGGCAACCGCTGTCTACCTTCTCACTGCCCACCTCTCTGTGACTCACCTTCCTGTGTCCTGTGCACAGGTCACTCAGGATAGGGAAGAGATTTAAGGAACAAGAGAGCAATACTGAGCTGACTGAATGGGAACTGATATGGCGCCTCTATTTCTACAAACACTGAGGCCAGGGGTTTGAGGGGTTCTCGTTCATTTATGGTCCTGGGTCACACTTACCTTTGGTTGCCTCTCTTCCTCAAATAGATCGGATTTAGAGTCATACTTCTGCAATTTAAATGGAGAGCCACATGTAAAAGCCAGCACCCATGCAAAATCCCTGCAGTCCAGCTCCCCAGTCTTCCCCAGGGTCCCCTAGAATAGCCCATGACTTCCCTCTGCCAAGAAGCACCCCCAACCCTAGGTCAGTGGATCTGACAGTCTTACACAACATTGAGCACCCATGGCAGAGAGACGGGGCTCAGGTGATCATCCCCCTTCAGTGGCTGCTCATCCGACTCCAGCAGGTCCAGGATGACTGATGGAGGAAATGGCCATGATGTCATAAGGGCAACTGTGACCCAGGGACCAGATTGCCTTCTCCAGTATCACAGGTTTTGGATGAATAAGAAATATCTTTCTGTTTCTATCCAGGAGTGGACTAGAGTCCTTAGGGTGTGAGTCTGTCCTATCCCAAAGTTGAATTATGGTTTGGCTATATCAAGCACATTCTGTCACTGGCCACTGAGGACAGTAGTTCATGTTGTGACAAGATGGTATATGGGCCTCTGACCTCCCTTACTTATGCTCTTCTCCAACTCTCTGTCTTCCCCTGGGGATGAAGAAAATCCTTCTTTTAATGGTTGCAGAATGTTTTTTCATCTCTTCATTGCTGTGGTGAAATACCTGGGTGCTAGAACTTGATCCTGAGTTCTCTGCAAGAACAATCACTGCTCTTATTTGTTGAGTCACGTACTGGCTGTTTTGATGCCAATTGGACACTGAGAGGAGGGAGATTAGGCTGTAGGAAGCCTGTAGGGCACTTTCTTAGTAATTGGTGTGGTTTAGCCCATTGTGGATTGTGCTATCCCTGGGTTGGTGATCCTGGGATTCTATAAGAAAGCAGGCTGGGCAAGTCAGGGGGAGCAAGTCAGTAAGCAGTAAGCAGCACCCTTTATGGACTCTGAATCAGCTCCTGCCTCCAGTTTCCTGCCCAGTATGAGTTCCTATCCTGACTTCCTTCAGTGATAAACAGTGATGTGTAGCCATAAACCAAATAAATCTTTCCTCCCCAACTTGTTTTTGATCATGGTGTTTTATCATAGCAACAGTAACCCTAGCTAAGACAGAAATTGGTACCAGGAGTGGTGTGTTTATGTAACAGACCTGACCATGTTGTTTTTGGGAGGATTGTGGAAGGTCTTTGCAATGTTGGGTGGAAAAACCATTGAGTATTGAGAGCTCAGTGAGCTGTTTTGTGGGAGCTTGGAAGATAAGAATGTTGGAGGAAATGTGGATGATGGAAGTCTGGCTTGGGAAGTTTAAAGATTCTACTGGGGCCATTTGTTATTTTGAATTAAGATTCTGAGGCTCTGGTCTTCTGGGTCTGAAGAGTCAGGCATGACTAACAAGAAACCAGCACCACTGAAGTGAAACCTTTGTATTACTGGGACATTTGATGCTGGTTGTTGAGAAGAGATCAGCATTACTGAGGTGAAATCTTCTGGGAAGTGCTTCCTGAGAGCACAGCAAATGTTACAGAGGTGGCCAAGGTTGTGCCTTGTGCTGGCAGGTGAACTCAGTAGTGTAAGAGTCACCAGGTTGTACTGGTTTTGAAGGCTTGAAGGGATCACAGAGAGCAGCTGAGGTGTGACTTTGTGAGAGACAAAGGTAGGGCATTGGTGAAGGTGCAGCTTTAGTAGCAGTTGAAGGCTCAGGGTAGAAGGAACCATGCAGAGAAGTTGACACTCGACACCATGAAGAGAGCCCAGGAGACACCATTGATAAAAATGCAACCCAGCTGCAGCAGCAGATTTAGCATTTTGGAGTTCCCAGTACTATGGGACAACTACTAAGAAGAGCAGCAGTGGTGAAGTGGATCCAGCCAGAGCCTAGAAGACAAGCTGTGTGTCTTGCAGGGGGTAGAGCCAGAGAAATGACCTAAGCTCCACTGTGGAAGAATCCTTTAGTATGCTGTGAAGATGTTTTGCTCTCATTGGTTTAATAAAGACCCAACTGGCCAATAGCTAGGCAGAAAGAGGTATAGGCAGAAGTTTCTGTCCCGCCTGGTTCCATAGCTGTTTAGTCCCAAATAAACACACAGAGGCTTATATTAATTATGAACTGTTTGGTCAATGGCTCAGGCTTATCACTGGCTAGCTCTTGCTTAATTATTAACCGATTTCTATTAATCTGTGTATCTCCATGTGGTCTTGGCTTATTGGAGAGTGCCCAGGTGTCCTACCTTCCTGGTAGCTACATGGCATCTCCTTGACTCTGCCTTTCTCTATCCCTGTTTGGATTTCCCACCTGGCTAAAATTCCATCTGTCCATTGGCTGAAACAGTTTTATTCATCAACCATAGAGAAACATATATTCACAGCACACAGAAGGACATCCTCCATCAAAGAGGTTAGGTGGGAGAGCCAGACTGAGAGAACTTGGGGAAGAAGGAGGACAGAGTCACCAGCCAGACATAGAGGAAGCAGGACGTGTACAAAATTAGGTAATAAGCCATAAGCCAGGTGGCAGCATGTAAAGGAATAGAAATGGGTTAATTTAAGATGTAAGAACTCGTTAGAAACAAACCAAAGCCAACCAAACAAGCACAGGGCTTACATAGGGCTTCTTAGAGACAGAGTTTTTCCAGGGTGAAGATTTCCAGAGTGGGAATTGGTTGGATTTCAATCCCTGAACTTGGACGAGCTCAAGGATTGGTTGTTTTTTGTGCTGGGTTTCAGGGTCAGGGGTGTGTTTCCTTGGCTCTGGTTCCAGGGCCAGGCTGTGTTTCTTTGGCTGGCCCTTTTTCCCTATGCCACATGTGTGTCTGGAGGTCAGGAGAAGGCACCAGTTGATGTTGATCTGGAACTTTAGAGAAGAGTAGTTGTGGGAGGTGCTTCACATGCAGATTATAGTGGGGTTAGAGCCTGAAGAGGGCCCTGATGAGAGCCTCAGCCAACTTCTAGGCTTCCTTGTCTGTTGCTGTCACTCCTATTGGTCTTCTTGTATCTATACCTTTGTTTCCCAGCTGAACCCTTACAACAAGCCATGCCATCCTTTTTGATGGGGGTTTTCCAAAGAGAAACCATTGTACAAGAGAATGGTGCCTGCCCTGATCATTGTAGTAACCCGTTTGAAAGGGTCAGATAGTTTTCTAGGCTGATGTCAAGCCAGCATTACCAGCTTGTCCCCCTTGCCACCTCTGATTATATCTCCTCACTTCAAGGTTACTCATTCCCTTCTGACGTGGGCCAGGTTCAGCCCCTCCCTGGGCAGCCTTGGCTTGGCTCTCTCGCTCACGCACCAGGGGGTTTGTGAGTTAGTGCAGGTCACATGACTTACATGGTTATGTGAAGGGCAGGTTAAGGAAGTCCATGAACGCCTCAGTAAAAGAATAGCAGATATTTATTTAGGGACCACTCACACACTGAAAGGTAAAGCCCCACCTCGGTCTTCTGCACCTGGAGGCGCAGGATGCTGCGCTGTAGGATGATGGTCAGGTCTCAGCCCATCACACCACGAGAGAGAGTGCTGGACCCCTCCTCTTTCTTATAGGAGATCACCGAAGTCACACCCTAAGACTCCAAAACTATTGGTGGAAACAAATACAACCATGACCTTGAATGACTATGTGTGGGTCACTCTCTAATTTACCCTTTTCTATTTTTTACATCAGCTTTTAAGTTGACATCCATAGTAATGGATTTCATGATGGCATGTTCATGTATTCATGTCATACTTTGTTCTAATTTGTCCTCCTCCCCTATTCCCTCTGTCCTATTCACTGGCTCACCTCTTCTCCCTGAACAATCAATCTCCCATTTCTGGATTTCATGTCTCATTATTGTCTTCATAAGGTCAAAACGAGACATGCTCATGATGTCTCGTGTGCCCCCTACCCTGTCTCTCCTCTGCATGCCCAAAGTTCCCTTTCCTCTTCCCCTCCTCTTTTCTCTCACTCCCCCCCCCCACAAAATCTTTCAATGTGTGATGACCAATACATCACAAAGATAGCTGCAGAAACAGCTCAGGAAAAACAAGTTCATTGCTCTCCTAGGTCATAGGAGAAAGGCTCATGTGTGCCCTCAGGATCACAGGGGAATTTTCAGGTTTGGCAAGAAGGCAGTGGAGAGAAGCAAGGAGAGAGGTTAGGCCCAGTCTTATTGGTGTTTCCATGGAGACATCAGATAGGACAGGCAAATGGTGTAGGGTTGGCTAGGTGGAAGTGCTGGAACCTTCATGGTCAGAACTGTGCAAGGTCCTGGCACAAAGCTCTGCATCCCTGAAGTTGGCTTCTAGATGAGGTCATGTATTAGTCAGGCTTCTAACAGAACTAATGGAATGAACCTCTCTCTCTGACTATATAAGGAGGAATAACTGGAATGACTTACAAACTGAGTTAATTCAACAATGGCTGTTTGTGGAAGGGAGACTAAGAATCCAGTAGTAGCTCAGTTCTCAAGGCTGGATGTCTCTGCTGGTCTTGAGAATAGATTCCCAAAGTAGGCTCTAATGCCAGCGAAGGAATGGATGTGCTAGCAAGGTGAGGGCAAACAGGCAAAGAGCAAGATCCTCCCTCCTCCCTTACATGGGCTTCCAGCAGAAGGTGTGGCCCAGATTAAAGGCATATGTCTTCCCAATCTAAGGTCCAGACTGGATGCAGAGTCACCCACTTCAAACCAAGAAAAAATAATCTATCACAGGCGTGCCCTCTGTTTCTGGATTGTAGTTCACTCCAGGTGGGGTCAAGCTGACAACCAAGAATCGCCATCTCAGGTCAACGGACAATGAGGTTAGATACTCAGGACCTGATAAGAACTTTGCACTCAGACCAACAGTTAGGGAGCTAGAGGCAACAGATGAGGTCAGGGAAAGCTATGTAAACCAGGAGGTTCCCCACCCCAGCCTTTGTGCATAGATAGACCTGAATGAAGAGAGCTTCAGTAGAGAATTCCCAGGGGAGCAGGCAGCAAGAGAAAGTTCTGAGATGCGAGAAAGCTTGGGGTGTTCTCCTTGGGATGTCTGATGATTGGCAGCTTGAACAGGTAGGACTGTTATGGAGTCTGCTTGGATCCAACACAATTGAAACACCAAGTCAATGCGGAAAAGAAAAGTTTATTGTAATCCAAGCCACTACTGATGGATCAGGGATGTAGAACAGACTTGGGAGCTGAACTGTGACCCTGAGCCAGAATGCTACAGAGCTGTTAAGCACAAAAATCACAAAAGCCACAAAAATCTGTGCCAAGTTACATTTTCCACCAATCAGGATTCAGGGATAGGGGACTCTCCTATGGACATTTTTTTTTGTGGTATCCTTATCCTGTTCCCATTGGTTGGTTTACTCAACTCTGGCTGTGTGACTTGCCCCACATTCATGTCTCGACTTGCTAACCAGGATGTCAGTCACCCAGTGTTGGAAACTTAAATTTTATTTGACCCCTATTCAGAATGGAAGTTTCACTCAAAATGGCTTCATTTTGGGTCTTTTTAAAGGACAGGGACTGTGAATCCAGAAAAGAAATGGATAAGTTGTTGCAGGTGGTTTTCATCATGTCTTGGCCCGATGCCCTCCTCAGCCCCAAATAAGCACAAAGACGCTATGTTAATTATGAAACTGTTGGCCGATAGCTTGGGCTTCTAATTGGCTAGCTCTCTAAATTATTAACCCATTTCTACCAATCTATGTATTGCCATGAGGCTGTGGTTTATCTGGTAATGCCCTGGCATGCTGTTACTTCTTTGGCAGCGTGGCGACTAGGTGGTCGGCTCCTTCTGCCTGCCTTTCCCAGAATTCTCCTTGTCTCCTAGTCCTGCCTATCTTCCTGCCTCATTGGCCAAACAGTGCTTTATTCATCAACCTATAAGAGAAACATATATACCAAAGGACATCCCCCTGGCTAAATAAAAAGGGTCTAACTTTAACATAATAAAATATATAACAACAGTTATCAAATAAGAACTATAGTTAGCAATATCTAGCCCATTAACAATTGGTAAAATTTAAAGAAAATATTCTATCATTTAGTTTATCTTCGTGAGTTTAAAGTTTTATATGTAACTTGCCTTTTATCATAACTAAGGAAAACCATAATCATAACTATCTGTCTTCAACTCCATCAAAGACTACAGAAGGATAATATATAAACTCTAGAATTGACAGAGACATCTTGCTGCCTGGACAGTCACCTGAAGTTCTTCTGTAATGTTGGAGCATCCATCTTCAGCCTATAGGCCATAGTGTGTCTGGCAGACTTCTCAGTGAAGCAGGAAATTTTAAACTGTCCACCTGGCAGTTTGTCAGTCATTTTTCTTGTCCTGCAGAATGTCTGGCAGACTTTTCTATGAAGCAGGAACCCTGCAGGACTGTCCCATCTTGTTTCAGCAGTTACTTTCCTGTGGGTCCTGTGTGTCCAGTTTATACAGCAACAGTCAAACAGTCCAGGCAAGAGCAGTTTCTTGCTTAAATGGCTAGTCTTGTCACATTGAAAGCAACTCCATATTGAGTTTCTTTGATGCCCATCTTCCTCTATGACATAATTGGTGTTGCCAGGAGCAGTTGTGTCTCTTTGCCATGAAAAAACCCAAACCATTTTAAATGTCATATTCTGAAGATCTTTGGTAGGTTTGAAGACTATCCATCTCAAATATATCTCTGTATATCTAGAAAATCTAACTAACATAACTATAAGTTTTGACTATTATTGGTGATTACAATCTGTGTTTAATTATACATTTCATTTCAAAATGAGCTACATAAACACAATATCTAAACAAGAATAAAAATATATCTATAACAAATTTGACCTTAAATTTGTATCAATAAATCAAAATCCATATCAAAGTAAAGTATTCATTTCTATATAATATTCCCCTTTTGGCTATGATCATTAACCATTTATAAACAACCCCATTTAAATGAAAAGAAAAATTATAAACAATATTTGGGAATTTGGGCATCATCCTCTCCAAACTACTTCCTATTGTTTGGGAGTGCTGTCAATACCATGTGGATCTTGAGAAAACCCAGAAACCTAGCAAAATCCTGGCTGTAGTAGTCTGCAAGGCTGCATCATCCCAGGTGTTTTGGATGTTGGATCACATGGGACACTGCTTCAGGGGGTCTTGCTTGATCAAACCATATTAGTCTGGAAGGAATCTTTTCATTTTCTGTGGAAACACAAACAAAATCTCTTTTCCAAAGTAACATGTCCTTACACTTAAATTTCGAATTCAAAGCATTTTCAAAATGTGTAAGTTGGATTAATTCAGTAGCATTTGTAATTAAACATCTGTTAGCAGTTGTTGCTCCTTCCTCAGCAATCAAACAATTCAAAGACAACACAATAACATCAGCATCCAGACTCTGTGCATTTTCCAACTTTACATCACTTTTCTATTACTCTATTTCTTTTACTTTTATTTATTCATTCATTCATTCATTTATTTTTTGAGACTTGGTTTTCTCTGTAACCTTGTTGCCCCTGAACTTATTCTGTACACCAGGCTTGCCTTGATGTCACAGAAATACACTTACCTCTGCCTCCTGAGTGCTGGGATTAAAGGCATGTGCTACCACTGCCCAGCTACCCTATTTCTTTTTTTTTTCTTTTCTTTTTTTTTTTTTTTGGTTTTTTGAGACAAGGTTTCTCTGTGGCTTTGGAGGCTGTCCTGGAACTCACTCTGTAGATCAGGCTGGCCTCGAACTCACAGAGATCCGCCTGCCTCTGCCTCCCAAGTGCTGGGATTAAAGGCGTGCGCCACCAACGCCCGGCCTATTTCTTTTTTTTAAACCACTTTATTCTTTTTCTTTTCTCTCCCAAGCCTACACATATTTTTAAACACACTGTAAACCCTTTAGAGCTTTTTCTTCATCTGAATCTATTTTTACTGTATATCTTTATCTTTTTCTGGTCACAAGTTTTTACTCTGCTGAACAGCATAGCTAAAACAGCTGTGCAATTTTTTCTGCTTATGCAGAGTCAGGAAGCATCTCTTAGAGAAGCCATGAGCCTCTGCTTGTCTCTAGCAAACAGAGCCTACTCTAGAAAATGCTGCTACCAAGAAGCTGTGCTTAACTTTGTTGTTTCTAAAATCCCTTTTTAAGCTTTTGTCAGGTTTTACATGGAAATTGGTGCAACCTACATTGGTGCCATTTTGTAAGCATGAGTTTTGTGGCCTGGCTGGGTCCTGGTGCTCTTGTATATATTATAAACTGTTGGCCGGTAACTAGGGTTTCTTATTGGCTAGCTCTGTCTTAATTATTAACCCATTTCTATTAATCCATGTATTTCCACGTGGTCTTGGCTTACTAGGGAATTCCAGACCTGCAACTCCTTTGCCTGCTACATGATGATTGCTCAGCGTCTCTGCAGAGAAGAGAGTGATTTCCTGTTTGTCCCTGCTTATATCCTGATTCTGCCCAGCTATGTCACTTCCTGTCTGGCCAATCAGCCAATCAGTGTTTTATTCATAAACCAATAAGAGAAACATATATACAGAAGGACATCCCCCATCAATAAGTTCTGGGCCTTAATATGTATTCTGATATCCACTGAATGTTTGAATGTGTCTTTTCCCCATCTTCTCCTTACAATGCACAAAAGGTCTTTCTTTATACTTTCCTCTTATTACAAGGGCCAAGATGCACTGTGAAGACCAGGGTGGGACTGTAATGTTTCCAAGGATAAGATGATTGTTGATATGTATTATATACAAGGAAGATGATCCTTTAAAAATGCCATACCTAGGGGCTGGAGAGAGATGAGTCAGCAGTTAAGAGCACTGGCTGGTCTTCCAGAAGACCTAGAATCAATTCCAAACATCCATATGATGATTTACAATAATCTTTAACTGTAGTTCTATGGGATCATAGAAAAAAAGGAAAAATTTAAAAAGTCTGCCCTTGGTACCTGTGATGGCTATTCTTGAAGACTAGTGAAGAAATTCAGCCCGGTAGACTGAACAACTACTGGATTTTCAGACTTTCCTTCTGTAAGCCTTTCTAATAAATCCCTTTGTATGCACATAATTCATTCTATCAGTTCTGTTCCTCTAAAGAACCCTGATTAATACAGTATCTGATTCAAAAATTAAAACAAAAACAAAATAAAAAAACCAAAATTTCTAGGCCCTAGTCCATATTGGCAACTCATTGAAAGACCTGTCTCTTTTTAAAATTTTTATTTATATATATATATTTTTTAGGTATGAATGATCTGTCTGCATGTATGCCTACAGGCCAGAAGAGAGCATCAGATCCTATTATAGATGGTTGTGAGGCAACATGTGGTTTCTAGGAATTGAACTCAGGACCTCTGGAAGAACAGCCAGTGCTCTTAACCACTGAGCCATCTCTCCAGCACGAGACCTTTGTCTTTCATGCATGGGCCAGCATCCTCTCTGTCCGTGTTGAACTCCTTTAGCTCCAGCTGACCCCACCTTCCCCTATCCATAATACTTTAGCCTGTAACACGCTCTTTGCCTGAGTTTTGTCCTAATGCCACTGAAATCAAAGTGCCCTCCTGGCCAGTGTCACAGGAAGGACGCTGATAAGGTGCAAAGATCAGGCCAGACCAAACGAGGTTCCTTGGAATAAGGGGAAGAGTTAAATCAGGAGAATGCTGGCGGATGAGCTCTTCCGTATTGCAGAACTTGAGGGCCATCATTTAAATGGATCAGTAAGGCGGTCTCTGGAGTTGGTCATGCAACACCTGAACTCTACAGCACCAGTATTCCAACCAGCAGACACTACTAATCAATCATAGCTCTTGCTCATGCAGCTTGAGACTCTCACATTCTCTGCTCCTAGGGAGTGCAGGCGTTTCCTCTTGATTCTCCAGAGCACACTGTGCTTTAAGTCGATATCCAGCGGCTTGTCTTACAAAGACCCAGAGACAGATAGTAGGAGCAACCCTGGTCAGTTCTTTATTGGGAAAAGTATGCAGTCTGAAAGCCGACAGATTTGTGATTCAAAAAAGATATCAATGTGAAGTTTTGGCTTGTTTCCTGTGATCTCATAGCAGCCCTGGACCATATTATTATTTTCGCAAATGCAGTGCTCATTCCTGGAGTCTTGCAGTTTTTGGAGGTAACGCTTCCGGACGAGCCACATCCGCACCCAGGACTGCAGCTTCACAGCTGCATGTATTTGCCTCAGGCTGTAACCCATCACCTTCTGTAACTTCTTCTCCAGCAGCCTGGCCATGGTCTGCCTCCACCAGCACTGAATGGTCCAAGCACTGAGGGCGGCGAGCAGCAGGGCCCGGCGCACCAATGTGCCTCGCCACCAGGCCTGGATCTTTATGCTTGCCTGCTCCATGTCAACAGGCAGCTTCTATTTTGAAGAGAAGTTGCATGAAAAAGAAAAGACACTCATGAAATCATCCTCCGATACCTCAGCCTCAGGGTGGGGAATTAGGGAGGCTCTTAGAGACCAAGAAGGGCATTCGGCCTCTGGTTACCCCTCTCTGACACATTTACTAATGGATATGCATGCATCACCTTGAGTCTCAATGTCCCCACTTATAGAATGGGGTACATCTGCTCTTGATACCTCTTCTGGCTTTCCACAGAGCTGGGTTGGTTGGCCAGTTTAGGACAAGAGTCCTGTGTTCTATAGAACTGTCTTGGATCTGATAGCCACCAGGGTCCCTTGACCTCTTCCTTCAGACTTTCATCTGCAGGTGTGAACTTAACTTTTCTATTGCCTTAATTCACCCTGCCATCTCCCTCTGTCAGACCCGAAGATTGATTCCCTCTTTTGTACAGTCTGGGATCTTTCTCTTCCATTTTTCACTTAATTTGTTCACTTCCCACATCTCACACACACACACACACACACACATGTTCCACACTCTTGTATAATTTACACACACACGTTCCACACTCTTGTATAATTTACACACACACGTTCCACACTCTTGTATAATTTACACACACACGTTCCACACTCTTGTATAATTTACACACACACATTCCACACTCTTGTATAATTTACACACACACACGTTCCACACTCTTGTATAATTTACACACACACACGTTCCACACTCTTGTATAATTTACACACACACACACACACACACACGTTCCACACTCTTGTATAATTTTGGGCATGAGATTCTCTCTGTTTAGCTGTTTATTCACCAAACACACACCATGCCCAGCTTTGTACCCCAGTCATCTGCCTGTCTGAGGCCAACAGGCGACTGGATAAGACAGTCAAGGATAAGCAAGCCCTATTCGTAGCAGATTGGAGAGTGTAACTGCCCCAGTTAGCTGGGACTGTCTTGGTTTCTGAAGGTTGTTCAGGGTGATGGTTTTACTCAGACCTTTCACTCTCACATGTACCATGCCTGGACTATCAATTCCATGACTGTCCTATGGTATGGGCCACAAACAAAGCCTGCATCAGCCTGGGTGATGTAGGTCAAAAGGTGTGTTAGGTCAGAGGTCACTCCAACACTGGGACCCTACACCACCTACCTTTGGCTGGTGTGTGAGTTTCATCTTCATTGCCTTTCTTTTCTGAAGTTTTCTACCTGTCTTTGCAGCTTTAGTTTTCTCAACTTGGGTTTGCTTCTTCTATCATCAGAATCAAAGGACAAAGTAGATCATTTCTGTGTCCAAGTCAGTGCTGATTCTAATATGCACACAACCACTTCGCTTGGACAGCCTGCCCAAACACAGGCCTGTATCCTGACCACTAGTGGGAACCCACTTTCCCCTGCATACAGCTTGTCAGTGGGCTGACTTCAGCCTGGGTTTTCTAATGTGCCTCTGGCAAACGCTCTGGTCAACTGTGGGCAGCCTCTGAGGACTGTGCTGCTCCCCGCTCCGTTCTCTTGGTTTTCCCTCTCACCTCAGATGGTCTGCTTCTGTGGGATGGGTAGGCTGTTGGGGATGTGGTGTCAGTGTCCTGGTAAGGATGTGACAGCAGACCCTGCTATGGCTCCTTGAGCAACCTCAGTCCTCTTGGAGACAGACAAGTCATTGCTCCTCTTGGAGGGAGAGTCCAAACAGCTCAATGGTAACCCAAGCCCCAAGCAGCCCCTGGACGGCTGCTTCTGTGCATGGATGGCCTGTGTGGACTTCACTTTCTCAATTATATTAAAAATATATTATGTACAGCTTTGACCTGTTTTCTCTGTCTTGTCACATTGCCTTCTGCTTAGGGATTCCACACCATTGCTGCCTGTGGATTGATCCTTATCACACCCCTTTTAAAGGTGCAGTAGATATTTTTGAAATGATGCATTCTCTGTTTCTCATTTGCATGGGGGCGGGGGCAGGGCCTATGCCCAGCATTTGGATCCAGTGTTGGGCATTCTGGCTTTTGCTGTTTGTTTGTGGTGGTGGTTGTTTTTGAGTTTCTGGATACTTAGGTTTCCTTTGAAGTGAGACCCTGAAGTAGATTTTAGTCAGTGACTGAGAATTTTCTTCTATAGGCGTCTTGTTACTTCTTAAAAAAATCTAAAAGTGTAGTTTCTTCTCATCTCTCACCTTCTAATTCCCTTTCTCCTTGAACGGAAATCAATAGGCTGAGCAGTAAACACAGCTGGACAAAGAAGTCAGCCTTAAATGACAGTGGGCATGTCAAGCCAGGTGAGGAAGGCTGTGTATGGGAGGGGTCCCCAGCAGGAAGCCCAGGCCGAGACAGGAGGGGTCACACAGAGAGGCTGACACTTCTGTGCTCCGGTGGATGAAGGGGACCTTTGGATGGGTCAGCCGGCCAATGAGGAGGCAGGAGCCTCATCCCAGCGAGGACTGGGCTCACCCGGAGATGGTGCCAGTTGCCAGGCACAGTGCTGGGGCCCGAGTGGGTCAGTGTGGAGGATGGAAGGTGAGGAATGACGATCAGAGAGACTGACTGGGGCAGGGCAGGGTATCCATAGAGAGGGATGCCCAATATAGGGCATCAGAGCCTTGGCGGGGTGAGGAGGGCGCCAGAGCGGGACCACGGGGCAGCGAAAGGTGGTCATGAGCGGGAGGGGAAGGGTCACATAGAGATCACTATGGTAGTTATTAATGATTGGGAACAAGGCTCAGATCGTGTCTGCTCTTCCCTTGCTCCGTCTCTCCTGCTTAGTGTTACAAAAGAAGCGATCTGTGAAGGACTATGCGTTTTTTAAAGGATTACACAGGTTGTGAAACTGTCGTCTATGGTGCAAGCCCAGGCATGGGTGACTGAGGTGGGGTGGAAGCTGCTGGAGATGAGAAGGGAGTGGTTGTGAACCCCATCAGCTGATTCTGGAGTCTTTAAGAATGTCACGATGCTTAGGGAGGAGGGGACTACATACATCATAGAAAACCTAGTGCTAAGGGGCGAGGATAAAAAAGCGAGATCTGGACTATTTTCTTCTCTGTATTTTTGCAAGAAGCAACTAACAAGGACCCTCAGGGCATTTGTCAAAAACACATGGGGCTCTAACAGTCACCCCATTTCCTGGACACAGGGACAGGTGTGGTTTTGCCTGTCCCTTTGTCTTGCCCATGGTTACAGGTCACATTGGCTCACCCTCTGAGCTACAGCATTGTTGTCTATCAAGCGAGATTACACTTGCCACATGGACCTCACAGGGGGAGCTGGGGGAAATGCCTTCCTCTGTATGTAGGAAACAACGGGTCCTTCCAGGGAAGAAACTTTAAATCTATGACCCGTGACTCTGTCCTGAGCGCAGGGTGCTGCTCACCAATGTGTGACAGTGTCCTAGCTACCCAGGGTCTCCCTCACCTCTTTTCTATTAATGTCTGCTCCTGCCTTTCAAGCTGCTCCATAACCTTTGGGGCTTATGCCAACCTTTGTCTACCTCCCATTTCTTACCATCCTGGGCCTCACCTTCCCTGTACTCTGCACGCTGTTTACTCAGGGAGGGGATGTCGGAGACAGATCTGTGGGGACTGGGGAAACCCACTTCCCCTTCGGCCTGGGAGCAGGCACAGATCGATCAATCCTGTGGGGCCAGAGCTGGCTCTTCTAAGACTAGGGATGGTGACATCATGGGTTTGCCATCTCCGGTTTTCTTACCTACCTTTAGTTGCTTTTTGTTCTTTGACTTTTCTTTTTCTTGTGTTGGTTTCTTTTTCTTATCTTGACCAGACTCCTGCAATCAGAATTGGGTTGGTATGGTAGTTTGAATAAGAATGGCTCCCATAGGCTCATACATTTGAATGTTCGGCCTCCAGTGGGTGGCTCTATTTGGAAGGATTAGAAGGTGTGGCCTTGCTCGAGAAAGTGTGTCGCTGGGGGTGGGCTCTCATTCCAAGACCCGAGTCTCTCCCTGTTGCCCATGGATCCATTTGTAGAACTCTGAGCTATTCCTCCAGCACCAGGTCTGCCTGCCTGCCACCATGTGTTCCACCATGATGATAGTGGACTGAACCTCTGAAACTGTAAGCCAGGCCCAATTTAAACACTTCCTAAGAGCTGCTGTGGTCATAGTGTCTCTTCACAGCAGCAGAACACTGTGACAGTTGGGTTGGTTTGGGATATTTGATTGCACAGTGAGACTCTGAGTCTGTTAATAAAGTTAAACCTTGAATTAAGGAGTGGAGTCTATGACTAGCTGACCGGAATTAGTCATAGAGATTTTAGAGGACCAAGATAGATATAGAAAGAGACAGAGGGGTGCTTGGAGAGATTCTCAGGTCTTTCAAGCCTCCGGGAAGGTAGAGAAACAGAGTCAGCTAACCATTTCCCTACCACTTCCTTTTTTCTTTTTCTTTTTTGGTTTTTTGAGACAGGGTTTCTCTATGGGTAGCTCTGGCTGTCCTGGAACTTGCTCTGTAGACCAGGCTGGCCTCAAACTTAGAGATCTGCCTGCCTCTGCCTCCTGAGTGCTGGAATTAAAGGCTTGTGCCACCCCTGCCAGACTCCACTGTTTTCTTGATCTATCAGGTTTGTACCCAAATATCTGACTCCTGAGTTTTTATCAATAGTAGAATAATATAGGTAAATGCTTCATTGGGTTGTGGGTTAAGACTACCTTCTCTAGGATATGTCTAATGCCTCAGCTCCCTATGATATCCCTGAAGCCCATGGCATTGTCCAGGGCTCCCTTCCGTCAAGGGACAAGTCTCCACCCCGGGGAAGGTGAGTCTGACAGAATCTTACACAGCACCGATTGACCATGGTGGGAGGGCCAGGGTTCAGATGTTCATTCCCCTCTCGACATTGCTCCTTTAACTCCAGCAGGGGCAGGGCAGGTGGTGGAGGAGGAGAGGACCATGACATCACAAGGATATCTGTGACTCATGATTGTCTTCTCCTAGCTCAAAGACTCTGGGAAACACTTGACTCTTACCCCCCTGCTGGAATGGACTAGAGATGTCAGGCTGACATGTGAGTTTTTACTGCCTCAACGATGACCACTGTTCTGACCCACACCAGGGCTCCTCCTGTCACTAGTCATTGAGGAGAATACTTCCTGTTGCCACAGGAGGCACATGGGCCTTCCCACCCTACCGACTCAGACTGGGTTTCCCTGATATTCTCTGCCTGTTTCCACGGTGTCTGAGACACTTGTATCATAAGAATGCCTGGCAGCCCTCTGGAATTTTTCTAGTGACTAGGACCAACAGTTGCTGGCCTTCATTGGTCATTTTCAGCCATTTCCATGGTCCCTCAGCCTCAACTCTGTGCCTTCTTTCATCTTCTTTTGATTTCTGCCTTTCCCCTGCTTCCCTCCTGAGCTGCTGGCTGGAACCGTTTGGGTGAATCTCGATGCTGCAGTGACGGTCACAGTTACCAGCACAGGGGGAGAGGTACCATTTGCTGCTTGTCATTGTCATCACTAGTGCTGTCGCTCCGTTGCCACTGTCTCTGCTGTCACTCTGCTGTCACCCCTGTCACAGCCGTCACTACTGCAGCCAGACTGCTCCAGTTCTGCAGCCACTCCCCTGCCATGACCTCATGGCTGTTGTCATCGATGCCGTATTCACGGCAGCCACCATTGCAACTGCCACGGCCAGCTGCTGGCCACGCCCTTGACTCCACTGTTGGCGCTGTGCTGGCTCCTGGCCATTCCTGTGACTCTGCTGTTGCTGTGGTAAAGCTGCTCCACCATCTTTGCTCAGCCCACTCTACTGTCTATGGGAGTCAAAGCTAGGCAAGGAAACTACCACTAGAGAGAAGCTTTGCATTGGGCGCAATGCTACCACACTGTTTTGTTGGTGTGTGGGTGTAGGGGACAGCCCAGGAAGTTGTGTCTCAGCAAGATCACAAAGCAATCCAAACGAACCTGCCTCTATAGCCAATCATAGCAGAGCTTCATGCAAATGAAGGACTTTATGTACACAAATCATGACATTTGTCCCCTTTGGGTCAGCCAGAACAGTCAGTGTTAGGCTACTAGAGGATATGCTCCCCCTCTGATTTGGGTGGAAAAGTTGCAGGCTCCTTTATAGTTCAAGTTTTGTGACAGCAATCAGTTCAGAGCAGACTGTTGGAACTAGCTGTGACTGTGGTTGCACCTTTAGCAGCTAGAGTTGTGCTACAACAGCAAGCAGCTGTGATTATTGCTTCCTCAGAGTCAATGGAATATTCAAATCAGTCAAAAGTGGGCTTACAGGTAGTTCAATTTGTTGCTCGGCTGAGAACCCTTTGTTAAAGGAAGACAGGACATTAGGGAAGAGTTAAACAGCTGCCAATTAGGAAGTCAAATTGCTCCTCCCATTCAACAACATAATTTATAGGAAAAAATAAACATCAAAGTGTTTAAAGGACTGTGGTGGTTTGAAAGACATCGGCCCCCAAAGAGAGTGGCACTATTAGGAGGTGTGGCCTTGTTGGAGTAGGTGTGGTCTTGTTGGAGGAAATGTGTCACTGTGGAGGTGGGCTTTGAGGTCTTGTATATGCTCAAGCCATATCCAATGAGATAGACCACTTCCTGTTAGCTGTAAGATGTAGAACTCTCAGCCACCTCTCCAACACCATGTCTGCTTGAATGATGCCATGTCCCATCATGATGATAAGGAACTGAACCTCTGAACTATAAGCTACCCAATTAAATGTTTTTCTTTATAAAAGTTGCCATGGTCATGGAGTTTTTTCTCAGCAATAAAAATCCTAAGACAAGGACTGGCTTTTAAACTTGGAAAATTTTTAAATTGAAATGTAATTACATAATTTTCCCTGTTCCCTTTCCTCTCTCCAGTCCCTCCCTTGTTCCCTCTCACCTCCTCTCAAGTTGGTAGCCTCTTTTTATTTATTGTTATACACACAAACACATATGAATATAGAAATACAGAAATACGACCTGCTGAGTCCTTTTAGTGTCAGGGCTGACCACTTGGTATTGGGTAACCAGCTGGGGACTCATCCCTGGAAAGATTAGTTCTCCCTCTCTCAGAAGTCATTAGTTGCCTGTAGTGTTTGTGTAGGGGTGTGCCCCAAGAACATTTCCCCCTTGGAAGTTAGCTTGCCTATTGGTGTCATCATTGTTCAAGTCTTGTTTTGGCAGCTATGTTGTTGAGGTACCATGGGTGTAACTTCCTGCTCATTTCTAGGAAACACAGTATTACAGAAGATGTCCTGATCCTCTGGCTCTTATGATCTTTCTAGCTCTTCTTCCATTATGTTGCATTGTAGATACATCTGTTGGGCATCCCATGATCAGTCCATCTCTATTTTGACCATTTGTAGCTTTCTGTAGTGGTCTCAGTTGCAAAAAGAAGTGTGTCTGATGAGGAGTGCGAGCTACATTCATCTGTGGCTCTAAGGATATGTTTTAGAATGTGGTCTACAATCATACTGGTTAGTAAATTGTGGTAGGTTCTCCTCTAAGATCCATGCATTAGAAGTAATTTTAATATGTCTAATAATCCTCTTGACAATGCCTACTAACCTGCCCTACTGCCTAACTCTTTTCCATGGCTGATGGGATTGTAAACTGCTAATCAGTCATAGTGACTTTAGTCATAAGAGCCTAAACACATGTAAGTCAGTGTGATAGATTCTCACATGGGAATATTATGTAGTAACATTATGATCCAGACTGCGATGTGAATGAGTTTTGTCCATCAATGCTGTGTACTGGGAGGGGCCATACACAAATGATGCATGGCTATGATTGTTTATATGAAATAGATGACTTCTATAGGGCGAGGATACATTTTGAAAGGCACAAAGGACTGGAGGAGAGGCTAATGAGGAATGGACACTAAAAGGATCAGAGATTATACAGACTGATAAAAATACTTTGGAAATTTATGTAGGTGGTGGCTGCTTAACAATTTGAACACACTAAATGGCATTGCCTTAATAGCTACTCTTTAATGAGTGATTTTCATTTTAAACACACAAAAGCACAAAGACATGTGTGCATTCATGCACATACATACACATATACACACATGCACACATGCATGAGCACATGCATACACACATACACACACTGTGATGATCAGTCCCTGTAGCAACAAGAAGAGGTGACACTCTGCAAAATCTGGGTACAGAGCCCTGCCCCTTTGCAGCTGGCTGTGTAATGGGAGGTCTATGGACATCTCCAGTTCTGATGAGGACTTTGCAATCAGGATAGCAGAGCTACCAACTAGAGCCAAAAGAAGCTGGGCCAGGATAGCCATCCAAGCCAGGAAGATAGAGGGGGGCTCTCTAGGGAGTGTTTGTGCAGAGACTGAGCTGAATGGATAAAGCTCTTAGGAGAGAATACCCTAGGGGACCAGGAGAGAAGGTCCAGCTTCTGAGTGGGAACAAGGCTGGCATGCTCTGCTTGAGATACTTCGTGAGTGGCAGAGTGTCCAAGAGGACACGGGAGAGTTTGAAGGATACAACTACACCGTGTAGGGGTGTGGACATAGGGAGGGTGTCAGACTTGTTCTCATAGATGGGGAGACCTTAGAGCATGACGACGAGAGAGTGGCATATTGAACAGCTAAGGGGAGCAGGCATCTAGCAGTGCTCCTGGAGACTTTACCCCTCCTCTCCAGGCATGCAGGCATTGCTAACCAGACACAGGCACTGTCGTGGTCCAGGGCTCTCACATCCTCTGCCCCTGGGAGGCCAGACACATGCTGCTTGCATGTGCCGATGATGGCGCCAAGTGGTTTGTATAACAAAGACCCAGTGTCATCCGTTAGAAGACCTGAACAGTTCTTTATTGGCAAGGATATGGCAAATCTGTGATCCTGGAAAGATGTCAAGCTAAAGACTTAGTTGGTTCCTTGTAAGGACACTGATCAGTCAACCGCTGACCCAGGAGACCAGGACATAATGCTGGCACCATTTCCCTCCTGTTTCTGGTCTTTGCTTTCTGCCATGCCAATTAATGATCATGCATCACCTTGTGTCCTGACTCTCAACCTATAAAATGAGAGCATATGCTCAGTGTAGAGAAAGAACCTTGTGACTTAGAGGATCCATCTGGACTGGACCACATACAGGGCCCATGGCCTCCCAGATCGTCTTCCATTTGGTGGGAAGCTAACATTCTCAGCTCACTCTGCTCTCTCCTCCTCTACCTCAGTCAGCAGCCTGACAGTTCCTCCTGTCAGGTCCTAACAATGAGTTTCCTTCTCCATACAATTTGAGATCCTTATCACTCTTGCTTATTTTGCTTCTAGAACCTTGTGCTTACACACACACACACACACACACACACACACACACACACACACTCCTGAACAATAATAATTCTGGGCGTGAGGTACCTTCTGACAACATACAACCACAACCCAGCCCTCACACCCTGCCCTCCAGCTCTGTTGAGCACTATTCCTACTCTTGCGGGTTTCTCTTCCTCCCACCCATCTCCATGCCTCAGTCTCTGCCTTGCTCGGGTCAGCAAGATGACTGAAGAAGACAGCCATGGGTGAGCAACCTCATCTCTGTTCATTTCAGTTTGGGGTAAGGCAACTGTTTATTCCAGCTAGCTGGAGACGGTCCTGGTGTCTGACAGTTGTTTTGACAGTAAACATCCCAACCCTCTTTCTCACAGAAGGATTCTGTTTGGAGCATAAATTCCAGGACTTCCCTACGGTGTAGGCCACAGAGAAGACCACTATCAGTCTGGGTGGTATAGGTCAGAGATGTGACAGATCACAGGTCACCTCCAACCTTGAGCCACCTACCTTTTGAGCAGATGGAGGTGTGAGCTTTGGTTCTTCTTTTTCTTTTGTAGTTTTGGTTCTTGTACTTCTTCCACAGGGATTTATTTGGCTTTAGCTACCTTTATAATCAGAATTAAGGAGGAAAGCTGTTAATGGATTATCCTTTGAATAGCTAGGAAACTGTTTTAACACATGCCCAGTTTTCCTAGACAGCCTCATAATCTGATTAACCAGAAACCAGTCAGGTTCTACAGCCTATAATCTACCCCACACAGAGAGCCTATGTTTGGAGACAGATGGTTCAAATCTCCCAAGTTTGCAGTCCCTTAAATTCCCCCATGACTGGGCTTATGATGGAGCCCCCATCTCAGGTCTGTACTGAAGAATGAGGGAAGGGAGCCCATGATGGTTTCATAAGGAAGCCTGGGATACAGGAATCAGAATGGCTTCCTTGGGTAGTGGGTAGGATCCCATTCATTCCTACAGAAATTCCCAAAGTTGGGCTTTAAATGGGGGCGGAGACAGAAGGTAATAGTTCTTCTATCCTGTTGGCAGAAGTGTGACCCGAACTACTGCAGAAGACAGTGTTTGACAGTTTCCACTAATACCGAATATGTATTTACCCTATAACTCAAGGTCCCTCTTCTGGACAAAGATAAAAAATGAAAACATTTATGTTCAAAGTGTATACACATGGGTTGGGGTTGCAATAAGTCGGTAGAGTGCTTGCCTCATCATTTCTAACCCCCAGCACTGGATAAATGATATGGGTGTGCGTGCCTGTAATCCCAGGAGGTAGAGACAGGAGGATCAGGAACTCAAGGCCATCCTCAGCTATATTCAGCAACTTGATGAATAAATTTGAGGCTAGCCTAGGATACAGGTAACTGACAAAACAAGCAACAACAAAAAAACTGGATGTGGTGGTGCACACCTTTAATCCCAGCACTTGGGAGGCAGAGGCAGGCGGATACCTTTAAATTTGAGGCCAGCCTGGTCTACATATTGAGTTTCAGGACAGCCAGGGATATAGAGAGAAATTCTGTCTTGAAAACAAACAAAAACAAGTTTTTAAAGTATGGTATTGCATGCCTTTAATCGCAGTACTCAGGAGGCAGAGGTAGGCAGATCTCTGAGTTCCAGGCCATCCAGGGCTACATAGTGAGAACCTGTCTAAAAAAATAAGTGTGTGCGTGCAGATATTCACAGCAGCCTTTTTCAAAACCAATAGATCAAAAGTAGAAGTAGTCCATCTACCTACCAGTATAGACGACTAGACAGGGAATTAGCTTGGTCATGAAACAATTCCCAAATAAGCCCCAGAAGTCACAATGGGCACTATACACTATAGTGTATAGTGTATAGAACAGTCTCAGAGTCTGCTAAATGAAGATGCCAAGTGTAAAAGATTATCTGCCTGGTGATTCCGTTTGTATGAAACGACAACTCTAATCCACAGGCAAGAGAAATCAGATGAACATTTACAGCTAAACTAAGGATATAAAGGGTAGTGCCTGGAAATAGTACAGAGAAGCAGAAAGAAATACCTTAGTATGTGGTAAAGGAGTTTGGCAACAAATCAAATTGAGTGCTTCATGAAGCTGCAAAAAGAGCTTGTCTCTGTGCTGCCCTGGGAGAGCACAGAGGAAACAAGTCACATTTGAAGGACAATGTGGTCCCTGCTGTGCTTTTATTCATGAGTTATAAAATCTCTATAAAAGAGGAGATTAGGAGTGTGTGTGTGTGTGTGTGTGTGTGTGTGTGTGTGTGTGTGTGTGTGTGTAGGACAGGAGTAAGAAGCAGGGACATCTTCATTATGCATCCTGGGCTATCTGTAGGCTCCAGTGTTATCAGTTTCCTCAGAAAGCAAGACATTTGCAGGCCTGAAAACCATTAGGCCCCACCTAAGGCGCGAACACCTTTGACTGTTGTGTCTTTCTCTACCCTTGCAGGAGGCAGGTCAAGGGCAGCCACTTGGGCAGAAACAGGGTCCCAACTCTGTCTGTTCCTGGCTCTGGAAACCCCACCAGAAAGAAGGTCATTGAGCAGAAAGACCTGTGAGTAAGACCTCAGGCCCTGGTTCCCCTCTGGGAAACTATCCAGGGGCAAACTGAGGCATGCACTTGGAGTTAGTTGGTGGGAAGCTGGTGCAGGATTATGGGGAACTATGGGGAGTGGCAGAGACCATTTCAGGATGGGACAATCAACATGAAGTTGAGGGGTTGCCTAGTTTTTAAGGAGGAAGACAGAGAATTGGTGGGGAGCTGCACAGGGACCTGGAATGTGCAAGAAGTATTTGTAGTATCTTAACAGTGTTGAACAACCCCAAATGGCAGACTGGAATCTGTATTTTCTCTCTTACTTTGGATCACAACCCAGAAATTTAAAAATAATTGCTGGGGTCATTGTTGCAATTTTTAAAAAGTGGCTTGAGAAAAACACCATGTAACAGAGTTCAAACGGGGGATTTTTATTAGGGGAAAAGGATCCTAAAAAAGGAGAAAGGGGAGCAGGGAGATGGGCCTCGGGGACAGGAGGAGTAGCAGGAGAGAGGAGAGATATGAGAGAGAGAGAGAGAGAGAGAGAGAGAGAGAGAGAGAGAGAGAGAGAGAGAGAGAGAGAGAGAGAGAGAAAGAGAGAGAAAGAGAGAGAAAGAGAGAGAGAGGAGAGAGGAGAGAGAGGAGAGAGAAAGAGAGGAGGTAGGCAAGGCCCTTTAAAAAGGGAACATAGTGAATAGGCACAGGTGGTGCTCTCAGTGGCAGCAGCTGAGGGCGTATTCCGTCAGACCCTCAAAGGCCAGTACAGATGCCTGAGTATTAACAGTGATAGCTCAGTTGGTGAAGTATTTGCCCTGCAAGTACTAGGACCCTATTTCTGTCCCATAACCCATGTGAAAAAGCCAGGTGTGGGGCACTGTCTTGTAGCCCCCCCCCCCACTGGGAAGGTGGAGACAGCAGATACCTTTGGCCAGCCGAACCTACTTGGAGAGTTCCAGACAGTGAGAGACCCTGACTCAGATGGGCCCACCTTTATACGTGGCTTAGTGTTTTTCTCTTACAGTTTCCAATATACTTTATCAGTTCCTTGTATTTAGCATTTTAACTATAATATGATGTGTGCTCTATTTCCCTGATCTTTTGTGTTCTAAATACCCTTGTACTTGAACAAGCATCTCTTTCCCTGCTTCGGGAGACTTTCCCTTATAGTTTAATTGAAAACGATTTTAACACTTCAGCCATTAAATTCTTCTCCTTCTGTGTCCGCCATTCATGAACCTGGTCATGTCATAGTATCCCATAGGTCTTGCGTGTTTCATTTGTATATTTTTGGTTATCTTTGTCATTGACTGGGTATTCCACTTCCTCTACCTTGGCTTTAAGCCCTGCTACTCTGTCCTGCTTGTGACCCATTCTATTGGTGGAACTTCGATGAAGCTTTTCATTTGACTTATCACAGCGTTCATTTCCAGCATTTCAGGTGTATTTTCTTACTATTTCACTTTATTGAGTTTTAATTTTATATTTAGGTTGACTTCCTCACTTCATTCATCTGTTTATATTCCCTTGGACATTTACCTTACTGAAGAAAGAAGTTGGGAAGGGAAAAAAACACGGTAAGACTAGTGATTAGTATTGGGGTCATAGGGGAAAAAGGAGACAGCAGAACATAAGTAGAGGGGGCTGTGATTGAGAGAGCTGAGGCACTTTTGACTAAGAGTAGAATGAAAATAAGTGATCACATAGATCTTGGGCGCCTCAACACAGAGACCCTATAAGCAAGGCCAATCTGTGTTCATTGGGACATGTGGAAAACAAAAAAGGAGACAGGAGAGTGAAAAAGAGAAAGTGGGGGGGGCGAGGAAAGGAGAGAGGGGGAAGGAGGAGAAGACAGAGGAGAAGGAGGAGGAGAGGTAGCAGTACAGGAACAGAACAGGATGGGCCTGGGCTGCTAAACTGCCCCTGGGTGTTAGAGGAGGGGGAGTAAATGTGGAGGAGGGAGAGCTGAATGGGGGTGCAGTGTGTGAATGCCATCATGTCTGCTGGATTCAGTCTGGAGTCTCTTGGCATGCTTTCCCTGACACCCAGAAGTCTGTCCTGCCTCGGGACATTCGTTTGTGAATATTTCAGTGTTCAACGGACTATCAGTGTCCCTTAAATTCCTAAATGATTGACACTAGAGCAGTGACTGGTTTCTGTATGGCTATTACTGTGCTTTTTAAATTTTAACCTTTGGTTAGATTTGTCCTCTGGCAATTTCATACACACATAAACCATACTCCCATCACCGCATCCTCACTGTGGACCCTCTTTTGAGAGATCAGGTTAGTGATGCTGGTACGGTCCATGGGTGGTGTTCACAGGTGACATCTCAGATCTGCACACATCCTTCTGGGGTCCAGATGAGAATGCAAACCCTGCTCTATAGTCAGACTTCCTTTGGACTGCCAGCTCTCAAATAATGACATGGAGACTTCTTATTAAGTATGAAAGCTTGGCCTTAGCTTAGGCTTACTTCCAACTACTGTACACCCCACTTCCTTCATGTCTGGTTAGTGAATCCCACTACTCCTCTTTCCATAGTTTCCCTCTCTCCCTGGAAGTCCCGCCTATTTTCTCCTGCCTATTGGCTGTTCAGTTCTTTATTAAACCAATCAGAAGATGCCTTGGCAGATACAAACCTTCATAAAGAAAAAAAAAAAAAGATTATCCCACAGCACTGCTTCTGTGTAATCCTCCCCAAAATCTGACTGCTTGGGGCTTGTGTGAGTTTCCTTCCAGACCCTGGCTCTGACCAGGCTTTTTTTGTAGTTCTTATTCAAAGTTTCTTTTCTGTAATCTCACAGTTCTATTGGCCAGGCTTTAGCATACAGTCCCATGATACTTACTGTGAGTTCCACAGGACTATGGTCTGGGTCTGCTGGGCCACTGACATGGAAGGGGTCTTTTTGTTTTGTTTTGTTTTTCTTTGTTTTACCGAGACAGGGTTTCTCTGTATTGTTTTGGAGGCTGTCCTGGAACTCCCTCTGTAGACCAGGCTGGCCTCGAACTCACAGAGATCCACCTGCCTCTGCCTCCTGAGTGCTAGGATTAAAGGCGTGTGCCACCAACGCCCAGCAGAAGGGTTCTATTTATATACTTATTTGTTTCTTTTTGAGAACTTCATATATAAACACAGTACCTAAATAATTCCAGCCCCCGTCTGCAACTCCTCGCACCCCTCCCCTGTTCCCAAGGTCATGACCTTTACAGAAGGGGTCTTTTCAAAGTGACATCTTGCCACTGTTCCACTGAATGCTGGGTTTTGTGTCCAAACTGCTGAGCACCCAGTGCCAAGAAATCCCCCCTATTTTTCTATTCCTTAAAATTCCTGATACAGAAGCACAGCGTAGCCGGGCAGTGTGGTACATACCTCAATCCTGGCACTCAAAGTTACAGGCAGATCTCTGAGCTCAAGGCCAGCCTGCTGTGTAGAGTGAGCTCCAGGACAGCCAGAGCTACACAGAGAAACCCTGTCTCTAAATCAAAATTCAAGTCAGACAGAAAGCAGAGCACAGGCTTTCTGAACCTCCCTTTGTTAAATTGTGGCTTCTGTGTCTGTCCTTGGGAGTTTCCAGGAGGGAGCATGTGACTTTAAGCCAGTCCCACTGGGTCATGCTGTGGCCCTCCTGCAGTGTTAAGTTTATGGTTTCCCATATCAGCTAAAGTGTTCAGGGGCCACGAACCTGAATAGCTTTTCTCCAGTTTTCCCCAGTCTATTACCTGAAGACAGTGTCTGCGATTGTCTGCCAGCCTCCTAACCAGAATTCTTAATTCTTTCTATTTCTGTGGTCTACAGCATTCCAGCATCTAATGAGTTATGATTGATAACATGTCGGGACATCTCAGGTTTCTAGAGCACTCATCTCAATGTCATGCACATCCAATGTAATTTTTTTTTGAGACAGGGTTTCTCTCTGGCTTTGGAGCCTGTCCTGGAACTCACTCTGTAGACCAGCCTGGCCTCAAACTCAGAGAGATCTGCCTGCCTCCACCTCGAGTGCCGGGATTAAGGCATGTGCCACTACTGCCTAGCCACATCCAATGTAATTTAAAGAAGGTTTAGTATTTGGCAATAATTCTCATCAAACCTCATTAGTTCAATTTTTCTAAATACTTTATATATACTTATTTTTCAAATAAGTATATACAAACATTACAAGTATACAGTGCCTTATAGACAAGAAGAGGGTGTCATGCTGGCCAGTGGAGGCGCACACCTTTGATCCCAGCTCTTGAGAGGCAGAGGTAGGTGGATCTCTGTGAGTTCGAGACCAGCCTGGTCTACAAGAGCTAGTTCTAGGACAGTCTCCAAAGTCACAGAGAAACAGTCTCAAAAAAACAAAAAAACAAAAAAACAAAAAACAAAAAAAAGGTCCCCCAGAATGGAGCTAACAGGTGATTGTGGGTTACCATATGGGTGTTCCTGTAGACCAGGCTGGCCTTGAACTCAGAGATCCACCTACCTCTGCCTCCCGAGTCCTGGGACTAAAGGCGTGCGCCACCACTGCCTAGCTTCATTGCTACTTCATAACTGTAATTTTGATGCTGTTATGAATCATAATGTAAATATCTGATATGTGTGACCCCCCCCAAGGGGTCGAGATCCACAGGTTGAGAACCACTGCCCTAGGGGACCAGGAGAGAAGGTCCAGCTTCTGAGTGGGAACAAGGCTGGCATGCTCTGCTTGAGATACTTCATGACTGGCAGAGTGTCCAAGAGGACACGGGAGACTTTGAAGGATACAACTACACCGTGTAGGGGTGTGGACATGGGGAGGGTGTCAGACTTGTTCTCATAGATGGGGAGACCTTAGAGCATGACGACGCCGAGAGAGTGGCATATTGAACAGCTAAGGGGAGCGGGCATCTAGCAGTGCTCCTGGAGACTTTACCCCTCCTCTCCAGGCATGCAGGCACTGTCGTGGTCCAGGGCTCTCACATCCTCTGCCCCTGGGAGGCCAGACACATGCTGCTGCTGTCACAGAGCAAACTTGTGTGATGCTTTGTATCTGCTGTCATTGCTGCTGGATGGGGACGCCAAGTGGTTTGTATAACAAAGACCCAGTGTCATCCGTTAGAAGACCTGATCAGTTCTTTATTGCCAAGGGTATGCAGTCTGATATACGACACACCTGTGATCCCAGGAAGATGTCAAGCTGAAGACTTAGTTGGTTCCCTGTAAGCTCATAGCTACCCTCAAAAATGCCACGGGTATGGCAGTTATACCAGCGCCACGACACCTGGATGATGTGGGTAGCATAACGCAGACGCCAATATTGCTGGCGGATTTGCAGCATTCGAATCCAGGACTGAATAGTGACACAGGCCCTTGCTTCTTGTGCCATCCAGTGCAGAGCCTCCATTCGTCTCTTCTCCAACCTCTCGGCCAGCGTCTTTCTCCACCAGCACTGGATGGTCCACGCACTGAGGGCGGCCTTCAGCAGTGTGCGCCGCACCAGTGTGCCTCGCCACCAGGCCTGGATCTTTCTGGCCTTCAGGTCTTTGTCACATGGAGGCTGTGGAGATGGATGTTGTGGGGTGTAAGGTGGAGAACGCTTTCAATTTTCAGGGGTGTAGCTCTTGGTAAATTATCTTGAGCTATGTAAACAAACCCCTCCTCATGCAGTGACACCCCCCCACACAAGTTAGGGTGAGGGATACAACAGGAAATGTGATCAAAGTACATTATATATATTTGCATGAAAAAGAATAAAGATATAAGGCCGGGCGTTGGTGGGGCACGCCTTTAATCCCAGCACTCCGGAGGCAGAGGCAGGCGGATCTCTGTGAGTTCGAGGCCAGCCTGGTCTACAAAGTGAGTTCCAGGACAGCCTCCAAAGCTACAGAGAAACCCTGTCTCGAAAAACCAAAAAAAAAAAAAAAAAAAAAAAGATATAGTAAGAGGAAGGTTATAGAGAACACATTCCCCATGGTATTCTCAGAAGATGCTCTGATCCTGTCACTAACCATGGACACCTCTCAATTTCTTCTGTACATGGCAGGGCAACATAATGAGCCTTGAGAGCAGGAAGGCATATTACCTCTGGTCTCCTTTGTCTGCCTTATCAGTTCACGAACTAATGTCACCTCAACACCTACGTCCCCATTTATAGAATGTGCTACATTCACTCTTGTACGTGCATTTTAAATTTTTGTATGCGTGAATGTTGTGCCTACATGTACGTTTGCACCATGTGTGTGCCTGGTGTCCTCAGATGGAGTTATAGACAAGTGTGAGCTGCCACGTGGGTTCTGGGAATTGAACCCAGGTCCTCTGGAAGAGCAGTCAGTGCTCTTAACCACTGAGCCATCTCTCCAGCCCCTCACTTAGGTGTCTATGAACCGGGTTGGCCAATTTAGAGCAAGAGCCTTGTAATTTATAGGTTCTTTCTGGACAGGCCCACACAGTGAAGCTGAGGCTTCCCAGCAGGAGCTTCCAGGGAACTGGCATTCTTTATTCACTCTGCCCTCTCCTTTCTACCACTGTTCACAACCTGCCCCTTCCCCCATTAGGTTCTAGTAGTAAATTCATTCCTCACATAGCTTGGGGTCCTGACCTCAACTGTTCTCACTTTTCCTTCCTAACACAGTCATACATGTGTGCGTACGCTTACCCGCACTCTTACACAACCCCATATGTATAGGTTCTTCTGTTTAGATATGTTCCCTAAACATAGATCTCATACCCCACTCCCCAGTTCACAGGGCATTTTTCTCACTGTCTGGGGATCCCCCTATATACCACTAGGCATCATGTTTCAGGCAGATAAGAAGACACTCAAAGAAGAGCCCCGTCCAACCTAGCTGCCAGTAGGGAAACTGGCTTCTTGGTTTCTGATGGCTGTTCTGAGTGACAGTCAGCTTCCCAACCTCTTGCACACACAGATCTATGTGTAGCATAAATTCCATGACCATCCTGTGTTGTGGGACAACCATAAGTCTGAGTGACATAAGTTAGAGATGTGGCAGAGATCAGGAGTACTTCTAACCTTGTGGCGTGATGGCACCTTTGGAAGGGATGGAAGAATTGACTTTTTTTTCTTTTTTGGTTTCTTTTCTGTTTCTGGTGGTGGTAGTTCTTGGACTACGTAGACTCTTTCAATTTCGATATCACAGCAACCACTCCCGTTCTATAACCATAGTTAAAGGAGAAATCTATGAATGGGTTATTATCTGAACAATTACATAACCACTTAAACACATGCCCAGTTTCCTCAGTTACCCCCGCATGCCTAGACACAGGATTTATTTCCTGATTAACTAGAAATCCACCATCTATAGTCTACAACTTACACTACACAGAGAGCCCATGCTTGGAGATAGATGTTTCAATCTCCCAAGACTGCAGTTCCTTAAATTACCCCATGGCTGGGGTTATGATGGAGCCATCATCTCAGGTCTGTACTTCTCCAGCCATGAGGCTGGCAAGAAGAGTGAGGGAAGGGGGCCCGTGATGATGTCATAAGGGAGCCTGGGATACAGGAATCAGAATGGCTTCTAAGAACTGGGTAGGATCCCATTCATTCCTAAATAAATTCCCAAAGTTGGGCTACAAGATCAGGATGTAAGCAACACTTGTTCATTGAATAAAGGTGGAAAATCTTAGTTATTTTTATCCAGTTGAAATTATTAAAATGAGTACAATCTGACATACCAACAGGGGTTTTAATACATGGGTTTCGGCTCAGTCACACAGTGGATCTAAACAATGGGCCCATGGCAAAGTACATAGCAAGTGATTTTCAGAAGAAGGTTCATGAATGGCTCCTAAAAATATGTCCATTCTGGAGAAATGAGGTAAGAAACATGGGCAGCCTTAAATGGGGCAGAGACAGAAAGTAATAGCAGTCTTCCCTTCTGGTGGCAGAAGCATGACCCAAACCACTACTGTTGAAGATGGTTTGGCAGTTTCCAATAATGCCAAATATGCATCCACCCTATAACTCAAGGTTCCACTCCTGGGAACAGATGTAAAACGAAACTGTGTCTTCACAGTATGAGTGCGCAGTCTGAGGTTTGTAGTGTAGATGGTACAGTACTTGCCTACCAAACAGGAAGGCCTGGGTTCAATCCCCAGCAGTCTATAAACTTAGAGTGTGCATACTTGTAATTTCAGTACTCAGGAGGTATAGACAGGATCAGAAGTTCAAGGTCAGCCATTCTCAGCAACACATACCAAGTTTGAGGCTGTAGGTTATAACAGTCACTATCTTAAAAATACACACACACACACACACACACACACACACACACACACACACACAGCTAGCAAGATGTCTCAGTGAGCCAAGTACTTGTCATACAAGTCCAAGGACCTGAGTTAAATCCCCAGATCCCTTGAAAAGGCGGAAGGTGAGAACTGAGTCCACGAAATTGTCCTGTGACATTCACACAAGTACCATAGCATGCTCTTCCCTATAGCACAATGAGAAAAAAAGTGTCCACCAGTATAGATGACTAGAAAATGAATTGTATTTGCATAACCAAATCATCTCTAGCAGTGGCAACAAGCACATGGACACACAGTAAAACAGTGTGCTAAATGAACCCAGTGTGAAAGATTACTTGCCAAGTGACTCCCTGGATATAAGATGATAAATCCAACAATCCAAGGGCAGGAGAAATCTCACCACCCTGGAATAAAGGGAGTGCCTGCAAATAGCACAAGGAAGTCTACAGAGCAGTAGACCGTATGTCTGTGGTGGTTAGACAGTTTGAGAACTCATCAACTCAAATGCTTCATGAAGCTGCAAAGAACGCTTGCGTCTGCATTATTGCGAGAGAGCACTGGCCAAACATGTCAAATGAAAGGGCAATGTGTTCATATGCATGTGCTATAAGTCACTATAGAGGAGGGGAGGGAGATCAGAGCAGAGCGTAGTGGCACTTGCCTTTAGTCCTAGCATTCAGGAAGTAGAGGTAGGCAGGTGTCTGTGAGTTCCAGGCCAGTCATGGTTACACAGTGAGATTTTGTCTCAAAAAGTAACGAAGGACTCTTGAGGACATCCAAGGCTGGTTTTAGTTCTTTGACGGTCTGGACACTCAGTCTAGACCTGTGCATTAAATATTTTATGTGTGTGTGTGTGTGTGTGTGTGAGAGTCAGTGATATGTGTATATGTATGTGAGTGTTTGTGCACATGTGTACCATGGTATGCTTATGGAGGTCAGAGGATAACTTTCAGGAGCCAGTTCTGTCCTACCGTATGGGTCCCGGGGTTGGCCTCATGTCACCATGCTTGGTGGGAAGTGCCTTTACCCATGGAGATAACTTGCCAGCCAGAGGCCTTTTCTTCTTCCAGTGATTTATCTTTTCTATGCATTGTTGTTGTGCCTGTGTAAGGGAGTCAGATCCCCTGGAACTGGACTTACAAACAATTGAGAGCTGCTATGTGGGGACTGAACCTGGGTCCTCTGGAAGAGACTCAGTGCGCTTAACCACTGACTCGTCTCTCCTTCCTTTTTTTTTGAGTCTCTCACTGTGTAACTCTGGATGGCCTGCGCTGGCTATATAGACGAAGCTGGGCTTAAACTCTCAGAGCTCAACCTGCCTCCCAAATCCTGGTAGTAAAGGTGTACTCCAAGGCCAGTACCTGGGATCATTGGGAGATTTTTAATTACTGCTTTGTTGTATTGCTTATTATAGTTTGTTTAAATTGTTTATTTCATCCTGGTAGGTCATATGCACCTAGAAATTCATTTTTTTTTAGATCTTCCAGTTTAGTGGAATGTAAATTATTAAGGCAGGTCTTCATATATCAGAATTCCATTGTTACCTGTTGTAATTTCTCTCTTTATATTTATTTCTATTAATGTGGATATTCTCTTTTTTGTTACTTTGGCTAAGGGTTTGACAATCTTGTTTATCTTAAAGGATCCATTCTTCATTCCACTGATTATATTTTTTGTTCCTACTTCACCAATTTCTATGGAATTTCAATCTTTGTTATTTCTCCTTATCTGCTTTGGGGTTTGGTTTGTTCTTATTTTTGCAGTACATTAAAGTGCATGATTAGCTTATTTGAGATCACTCTGTTTTTTTTTAATGTAGGAACTTAGAGCTAGAAACCTCTTTTGTTTAATTTATTAATTTTCCGAGACAAGGTTTCTCTATACTACAGTCCTGGATGTTCTGGAATTCACTCTGTAGACCAGACTGACCTTGAACTCACAGAGGTCCTTATGCCTCTGCCTCTGCCTCTGCCTCTGCCTCTGCCTCCTGAGTGGCTGGGGTTAAAGGCCTGCACCACCACTATCCGACATAAACCTCCTTTGTAAGACTGCTTTAAATTCTTAAAATTGTATCCCACTGGTTTGGGTATGTTGCATTTTCATTTTCATTCAATTCTAGGAATTTAAAATATTTTCTTCATTTCTTCCACGGCCCACTTATTTAATGGAGTTGTTTAATCACCATGGGTTTCTATAGTTTCTTTTAACTGATCATATTTGTTTGACAGTTTCATACACGTATTTAATGTATTTTGATTGCTCTTTTCTCCATCTTCAGTCCTCTCCCCTCACTTGTTCCCGCTCTTAATCTCTCCCTCAAGCTGGTGTCTTTTTAATTGACCATGGCTATCTGCCAGGCCTTGGGATTGAAACCGCCCACTAGAGTCTGGTGGGTGCATCTGTGGATAACTGGAGACAGTGGCTGCCCCTTTTCCAGTCTTTAGTAGCTTTTGGTTTAGAAGTAAGAGGTAAGGTCCCCCCCCCATCTATGACTGACTGCTGAGAAGGGTGTTCTGTGGAACCGTTGTATGTAATCACAGCTTGCCACCTGGGGCTGTGCGGGTCAGTCTGCCCACCCACTACCATGGAGTGCCTGGGATTCCGTGGATCTATGCGCATGCCAGTCTAGCAGTCCATGCTGACTTTTCCCTTTAGTGTGTGTGTGTGTATGTGTGTTTGTTTGTGTGTGTTTGTGTGTGTGTGTGTACATGCGTGTGGAGAACTGAAAACAACCTCAGGTGTCATTCCTCAGCAGCTTTGAAACAGCCTCTCTTATTGGCCTAAAGCAACACTTTTCAACCTTCTTAACGCTGTGACCCTTTAATACAGTTCATGTTGTGGTGACCCCCAGTCATGAAATTATTCCCACAGCTACTTCATAACAGTATTTTGCTGCTGTTATGAATTGTAATGTAAATATTTTTGTAGATAGTGGTTTGCCAAAGGGTCGCAGCCCACAGTTTGAGAGCTGCCGAACTAGAGTTATTGATCAGTATTGATCAGGCTTGTCCAGCTGGTTAGAGAGCCGCAGGGACCCGCCTGTGTCCATTCCCCCAGTGTTGGTGTTGCAAGTCATGTCGGCTGACCCAACTTTAGAAATAAAATCACTCTTTGATAATCGTATACAGTGTATCTTGAGCATGTTTATCTTCCACTCCTTTCCTAAGTCCTCCAAGACCCGCCCCACCTTCCTACTCTCTCAACTTGATATTCCCTTCTGTGCGTGTCTATGTCAGCTTTTTAACATGGGTTATAGGAACTGAACTCAGTGCCTTGAGCACGCAATGCAAGCGCTTCACTTAGAGTGATTTCCCAGCTTCAAGAACAGTCTTTATAAAAGAGTCTTTGTGTGATTTCTCCACAGCGACACAAGTGGCTGCTCCTTGTGTCCTTTTCCCGGAGGCTTTCATTGCTTTAGAGGCCATTGCCCGGTGATTATATGGAGGCCGTACTGGAAACTTCTGGGTCTTTGCAAATAAAACACAGTCCTTCATTTTCCTCTTACAATGGATAACATTTGGCATGCATTTATAATTCTTGCTTAAAAAGAGATTTCTTGATGGGCTGTGATGTTGCACACCTTTAATCCCAGCACTCAGAAGGCAGAGGCAGAAGGATCTCTGTGAACTGGAGGTCAACCTGGTCTACAGAGTGAGTTCCAGGACAGCCAGGGCAACACAGAGAAATCCTGTCTCAAAAAACCAAAACCAGAGAGAGAGAGAGAGAGAGAGAGAGAGAGAGAGAGAGAGAGAGAGAGAGAGAGAGAGAGAGAGAGAGAGAGAGAGAGAGAGAGAGAGAGAGAGAGAGAGAGAGAGAGAGAGAGAGAGAGAGAGAGAGAGAGAGAGAGAGAGAGAGAGATGTATTTTTCCAGGAAGTTGGGGTTGCTGGTCTTCTCTCTGCTCTGCTGCCGCCGCCAAGAGTCTGACTTACTCCCCAGGAGGTAGCAATTGACTTTCTTCTTCACAGGCCCAGCATCTCATCCCATGTCTGGCTCCATCTGTATCCAGTCATCTTGGCTCAGCTGGATGGTTCACACTGGTTTTCCGAAAGTCTCTTTTTCAGACCCTCCTTCTCATCAACAGCAGAAAATCCTCTTTACAATGCTTCTTTTCTGAGCAGCACACATTTGACACGTACTGGAACCCCTGGTTCTTCCAGGGACAAGTTGTCAGGAATATATGGTTTCCTGGGCAGGGGCAATCCTGAGCCAAGTTCTCACTCGGTGACACCTGTCACCAGGCCCTTCCGTGCTTTCCAAAACCAGACACATCTCCCTAGGTAGATTAACTGTATTAGTTACTCAAGGTGGGTTTAAATGAGTCCACAAATACCCTCCCAGGGCAGTTGCTATGCTCTGTACGCCCCTGTTACCATAAAATACATCCAGAGCCAGCCAGCTAACTTCTGATTGGTTCCTTACCACATGGAGGGTATCTGGCTTCCTAGTGACTGGGGCAAGGTCAGGCAAGGTCGGAAGCTGGTGGGAAGCTCAGCACATGTTGCTGAGTCAGGCCTATATCTTGCTGGGTCTTTTCTGCAGCCTGTCAAGACAGACTGCCAAAGCAGGGGACTGGGTGAGGGTCTGGTCCCTTCATATGTAAGCAGAGTCTAAATTAAACTTGGGCTGTCCGGTGTGCTGGAAGGCATTGAACAGGCAGTCCTCCGGAATCTATCCTGCGTTTCTGTCTCTATTCTTTTTATCTGCCTTTTCTCAGTCCTCACACCCTTACTCAGGTAACCCAGCTGACTCACTGGAGCAGGCTCCAACAGAACCCCAAACAGGAAGCAGAGAAAACACTTTAGGAGTGGTACAGGCCTTTGAAACCTTAAAGCCCACTCCCAGTGACCTATGTGAGCTACACCTAAATCTCCCGAACATTGCCACCCACTAGCAACCAAATATTCAAAGAGCTGATGCTATGGTGGGGGGAGGGGTCACACTCTCACTCCAACCACCGAATTCTACTTCCTGGCTCTCGTGTGTTCATGGTCATACCGGTAATGCAAACTGCATGTAGTGCAACTTCTAAAGTCTCCATAACCCTTCAGTCTCAACACAATTAGAGTCCAGAGAGCCAAGGAAATCTTTTAATTGCAAGCCCCTGCAAGGTAAAAAAAAAACAAAAACAAAAAATAATATACTTACAACATACAATGGCACTGAATATGCCTTACCATTCCAAAAGAACAAGGCACGGTGAGGATATACTGGACCATGAGAGAAACAAAAGGAGGCAAAAAGATAAAAGGGCCAGCATAGCCCAGATGGCTGCATTATGTAGGGGAGAGTGGAAGGGGATTAGAGGAGGGCAGCCCAGCCCCCGGACTGGAGAGTTCAGGGTAGAGGGTGGGGTATGCCAGCCATGCTTTGTGCTAGGTACGGACTGAGGGAGAGCCTGGTGTCTCAGTTAACCATTCATTAGTTTGTCTTGGGTTTGAGACCTAACACAAAGCAAGACCAAACCCAAGGAGGGAAAAGGTCAGATCACAGCTCTGCCTTTGATATCAGTGGGTTAAGCAGGCTCTACACTTCCAACTTTGCTGCCTGCAACATTCGTTTCTTTTTTCTGGGTGTGGGTCTACTAGTTATGTGTAGCTCCCTTTGGCAGCCATCCCATGCCCGTGGCATGTCCGATGTCTTGGGGTCTCCAATGTAACTCAGGCTTCACTTCCACAGCCTCCCACTGTGACCTCTCAGGGCCTCTTGTGCACTTAGGGTCCTCATGGAGACACTGTCCTGCCACATGTTGCCTGGCTTTGTCTCTGAAACTGCATCAGATCCTGACTTCTTGCCACAACATTGCCAGGTTGGGCTGCCAGCCTGGCATGGAACCTGGGCCCTTAAATCACATTTGCAGCAGCTTTTGTTTGTTGTTTCCAGGAGCATAGATAGCATCCCTGAGGCCCTATCAGTTTCAGGAATGGGTGAGGTCCTGCCTTCAGGGTGCCCTTCCCTTTTAAGGAAGACCAGGGCTCTGCTTATTCAAATCTCTTCAGCACAAATCTTGGCTTCAACATTAAGTTCTTAAAGTTTTAATTTCACATCTTTAAGAGATATATCTTTATTAAATTTAATCTTTAGGGATGTGTGTGTATACACATGTACATGCCTGAATATGTGGGTGTGGACCTGGAAGCCAAAGGTGTTGAATCCCCTGGAGCCAGTTTTACAAATAGTTGTCAGCTGCCTGATATGGGTGCTGGGAACTGAACGCTGGCCTCTGTAAGAGCAACAAATGCTCTTAACCACAGAGCCAACTCTCCAGCCTATTCATTTTAGTTTCAAAAGGTAATTTTGTATTTCCACCCCTGCTTGCTCCTTTTTATTATTGTAGTCCTAAGGATGAATGCCAAAAACTACATGACAGAGTCAATACTATATATTCTTCTCCACTGAAGAAACCAGTCAATTAAAAAAGAAGCCTCAGGCAAGTTCTTAGGAGCCACATTTTTTTTTTGTCAAAATATCACAGGAATAGTCTCTAATAATCTCTAGCCTGTTACTAATATTGCTGCCCCCCCCAATCCCTTTGAGCTGGGCCTCCGCAGTCCACATTGCTCCGAGCACTGTTTTCCAAGCTTCTACTCGGATGGCCCATGAAGCTCTGCCCAGAGCCGTTCAATCACTTTTCTAGTCCAAAGTTTTTCAAAGCCTCCCACTTTCCTCAGAAGACAGCATGCCAGGTCTCTTGCAGCAACATCCCACTCCTGGTACCAATCTCCGTGGTAGTTTGAGTTTCTGTTGTCATGACAAAACACCATGACCAAAAGCAACTTAGAGAAAAGGATTTATTTCACCTTGGCCTCTCAGATCCTACATTATCATAGTGGGAAGTCAGGGCAGGAACTTGGAAGCAGAGCCTAAAGTAGAGAGAAGATATGGAGGGATGGTTTGCTCAGCTGCTTGTACTCTGTGGTGTGCTCCTCCTGGTTTCTTTTCTTTTTTTAAGATTTATTTCTTTATTTATTACATATACACTGTTCTGCCTACATGCCAGAAGAGGGCACCAGATTGAATATTAGATGGTTGTGAGCCACCATGTGGTTGCTGGGAATTGAACCTCTGGAAGAGCAGTCAGTGCTCTTAACCTCTGAGCCATCTCTCCAGCCCCTCCCCTGGATTCTTATACAACCCAGGGCCACCTGCACCGGGTGGCCTGGGCCTTCCTATACCAGTCATTAATAAAGGTACTACCCCACAGACTTGCCTACAGGCTAATGTTATGAAGGCATTATTTCAGCTAAGATTCCGCCTTCACAGATACGTATAAATTTGTGTCAACTTGATATAACCCAAACAGCACATTAACAGCACTTAAATTTTTTTCTTTTGGGTGTATGGTAAAAATAATGAAGCAAATTTTACTGAGTACTGAGAATTTTCTTCTACAGAAGACAGATATGGCAGGATTTATGTTGAGTTGGCACTCCTAAGGAAGGAACTGATAGAAAGCCAAATTATGTGCTAAGGAGTTTCTGGAAGACTTTAACGGCTGAGGAGCTGTTGACAGAAGACACCTGTGACGGGAGAGTACACGTGAAGGTGATCAAGCCTGCCCCAGGTGTGGGAAATTACAGCCCTAGACTAAGGAGTGCACATCTCCCTCCAGCAAAAGGTGATGCTAGATATGGAGCTGGCTTGCCCAGTCAGGAAATCCCCCAACAGCCAGGTCTGGTGGATGGAGAGGCAACAGATACTGCTACATCCACAGTGCCAACCAGGGCCAGTCTGACAAAGGGAGCCAGCAGGTGCAGCAGGAGAGAGCCCCAGCTCCCCCTGGCAGATTAAGTCATGCCCACTGAGTCTATCAGGTATGGAGAAACGCAGGGAAACTCCTAGAAGAATTCCAGGGTATGCAAATGCCATGCCTCGGAGAGAAGGGTTGAGGATTTCAGAAAACTAAGTTACAGCCTCCTTCCTCTTCATGCTTTCTACCCAACCTTGATGTGTGGAGAAAGTAATTGGTACAAATGGATGGGACCTTTCCATGCTGTGTTAGATGCTGCTAATGGTCTACTTTAGTATCTTCTTAGTTGTGAACTCTGGGGTCACCCAATACTTGCTCAGAACAGATGACAAAGGACTTTGATGGTACTTCACCAAGGTTATCTTTGCGACCCCACTATTTGTTATGGGATGTCTTGTCTATCCTCTGGATAGGTTTTGCAATATAGTGAATAATGCTAACCCCTAAGTGTTGTACAGACTTGTACATTCATCTACCTTATAACTGCTGGACTGGGTTAATTGAAAGGAAAAAGAAAACACAAAAGGTCATAAGGTTATTGAATAAAACCCCAACACCAGAGGTGGACTGCTTCTCTGTGAGTTTTTGGCCAGAGAAGCGACCGAGGCCCCACAAACCAGAAAGTCTATTGCTACTGCCATTGGTTGTATTCTAGAACTAGGTGGTAAGACCCTATGGCTGAAGACACCACATGCTTTGACTCTAGAAATGGAGAAATGAAGCTAAGACTGATTTGGAAACTCCCACCCTGCTGACTGGCTTTCAAAGTGCCAAAACAGGCCATGAAGTAAAAGTAAAGGGTTGGGAAAAGTTTTTCCAGGCAAATAGAAACAGAAAGTGGGCAGGAGTAGTTATATCAGACAGAGAACTACACAAAGAGACAAGGAAGGAGGTTATATAAAGCAAAGGAAATAACAATCATAATTTTAAAAAGTAACATGTACTTTTAATTGATTTCGGGTAAAAACTACAAAGAGAGGAGGAGGATCAGTGATTAATTCTGGCCCCAATTTATCAGTGCAAATACCATCTGCATTAGAAAAAAACAGGACCTTATGTCATCACAGCTCACATGTGTGGCCGGCCATCAAAGCTGCTCTTTTAAATTCCGTATTTCTTCTTGAGCTCTTCCTTTTCCATACAGGTTTTCACAGCACTTTCCTTGGATGTCCCGTTCGGCTTATTCCATGAATCCCACTTGGCCTTGTCTTTGAGATCCAACAGCCCAGGCTGCTCAGTGCTTGTGTCGCCCACAGTGACATATTTGAAGAGGCCACAAATGAACAGCATCTCGTCATCACCTGGCTGAGTCCAGAGGCCCTTCACCCCCTCAGATTCAGCCTTCACAGGCCAGCAGGCCACACGTAGTACCTCAGACATACTAACAAGTATAAGACAAAATACTGATGGACCTAAAGAGAGAGAAACTTCAATACAATAAGAGTTCGAGAGTTCAACATAACTCTGAAGCCTCTAAGACCTATGAGACACCATTAAGGAAATGCCTAATTCTAGAGCTGGAGAGATGGCTCAGCAGTTAAGAGCACTGGCTGCTCTTCCAGTTCAATTCAATTCCCAGCACCAACATGACAGTTCACAACTGTCTGTAACTCCAGTTCCAGAGGATCCAACACCCTCATGCAGACATACAAGCAGGCAAAACACCAATGAAGGTGACATTAAGGAGGAAGAAAAAAAAAACAGACATATAATGGCTATCTCTACTAACCCTCTAAATACTAAAAAGATAACACAAGGTTTCCAAAAACTACTCTACTCACATAAATATGACAACTTAGATTAAATGGACAAATATTCCAAAATACAAACTTTTAATTTTCTCCATATGAAATAGATAAATGAGCAGTGCTGCACTGTGACAGAAATTAAATCTACAATTTAAAAACTCCATCCCCAATTTTAACAGCCCCTTAAATAGTTAAAACCGATTTCTACGACCTCTTTTAGGAAATGGAAGAAGAGAGAACTCTTCCCACGTTTTCAATGAAACTGATGTTGACCTGATACCAAAACAAAAAACTTTAAAAAAAAGAAAATGCAAAAGTCCTTATAAGTATTAAATATAACCCAGCATACAAAATAACTACATAATGTGACAAGCATATTTTATTCCACACAGGTTCAACACTCAAAACCCCACTATTACCCATCCACTATAGTACTAGGCCAAAGAAGATGTGATTGTATTAATTGATGCATAAAAACCTTCGAGTCTGAGGATGTGACACAGTTGGTGTGCACTCGGAGGACCTGAGTGTGGGTCCCTGGCAATGACAGACACGTCTGTAACCACAGCACTGAGGAGGAAGGGAGATAAAGGCTGACTCACTGCCCAACCAGCCTCCCTGAGTCACTGAGCCAGGGAGAGAAAGACTTAAGATTTGAGACAGTGAAAGATCCTGTCTCAAAAAAAGAAAGGTGGACAGCAACTAAAGAAGACACCCATAGATCTCTGGCCTCCATATGCACATACATGCATCTGCACATGAAAACACAATATATATATATCACAAAAGCATTTGACGAGACCCAGTAGCCTTTCACATATAAACCATTCCCAATCTTATTCAACAGAGGGCTACAAGTAGCCAGTGTAATAAGGCAAGAAAAGTAAAGTGCATGCCTACTATAATGTAAAAAAGAAAATCATCTTTGCATGATGTAATTTCCTATGCAGAAAATCCCATGTGATATACAGAAATAAAACAAAAACTTCGAGAACTAGTAAGTGAAGTCATTAAAGTCAAGGATGCAAGACAAACAAAAAGTCAATTTTATTTTTACATTGAATGAGCAAATGCTTCCCCCAAATTTTAATGCCATTTATATCTTTAGTACAGTGAAAAACATACCCAGAGCTTGTATGATTAAAAAACTACAAAACACAGATGGAAGTAATTGGAGAAGATCTAAATAAGTAGAGACAAGGCATGCCAATTGGACGACTCAGCATAGTAAATAAGCTAATTTTCTTGCATTTAAAAAGTTTCTGTTCACAGGTGCCTATTGAATTGCCTTTGAGACCATCCCATCAGGAGGTCTGAAGAATTTTATTGCACCCTGGGGAAGGTAGGAGTCTATGCTGCCCACTCTGCCTTGGATGGCATGCTGTTGTTGGGCATTTGATTGGAGTAGAGGGGTTATAGCTAACAGTTTTATCTTGGTCTGCATTTTTCTGTTGTTTTGGCCAAGGAGGACTTTGGGGGTGGCTCTTGTCCTTGACTATTTGTGTTTCTGGCTTCTTCGGTTCCAGTTCTAAACCGAGAGCAAGGTAAGGAAGTTGACCCTCATGGTTGTTACTCAACAGACTGCTACAAGTTACAGCCAGTGCTGTAAGGCAAGAGAAGTAAATAAAGGGTACCCTGGCCAAAGAAATCCCAGGGAATTCACCCTGGGTGTGTTTTTTGGGGGGATTAGGGGTCCCTAGCCATCATTTTAATTCTCTCTCTCTGTCTCTCTCTCTCTCTGTCTCTGTCTCTCTCTCTCTCTCTCTCTGTGTGTGTGTGTGTGTGTGTGTGTGTGTGTGTGTGTGTGTGTGTGTGTGTATACAATGTCCAGGGCTTTAATCAGAATCAGACACTGAAATTGAAGAATTAGATACAAGAAGCTAGACATACTCTTCATTAGATTAGGGTATGCCCTCTTGCCTCTTCTGCAGGGAATAAGTCTCAGCCACTGCTTGATTAACATGTTAAGGGCTGAAGAGGTGGTGAAATGCTGAACTGAAGGAAAAGAGATCTCTGAAGAGCTCATGAGAATGGAGAGGGGAGGCAGCTGACCCAGGGTGAGAACAGAATGTCCCTCCTGAGGGGCATCTTCTGCCTCAGCTCAGGTTAGGGCTGACTACTGACAAACTGTATCTACCCTCTGGCACAGGCCTGGGGCTTTCTTTAAATGCATGTGCTGGTGAAATGGCAAGGCATCAGAAACGCCCTGCCTTCCTTCCTGATACATTATGTGACTCCGATAGCAGGTGCCACCTACCTGGGAGACAGTTTCACCACGTAGAGTCTTCTCTTCTGCCCTGCCCCCATCAGGCTCCAAAACCTAGTTAGCAGATGTTCAAAAAGGTTATACTCCCCCCAACTTAGATTCTAATTTCATTTCAAATTTGTATTTGGATCATTTGTAGAGCAGAAAGAATGAGTCACTTGAGCTCACCGAGTCTGCCCTTCAGAGCCAATTTTAAACAACTTTAAACAACCTGTCCACCACACACCAGTGAACTCTCCAGGGACTTGTGGGATTCCAGACACAGTGACCTTAGCTATTCAGTGAGAGTAGGCACAGCTCTCACAGTGATGCACAGGGTTTCTTTCTCGTTGCTTTGAGTCAAAGAGGTGGAAGCTATCCCAAAATGCCCAAAGAGAGAGCCCCTAAGACATAAGTCTAAGCTGGGCGTGGTGAAATGTGCCTTTAATCACAACACGTAGGAGGCTGAGGCAGGAAGGTCATGAGTTTGAGCGCCAGCCCAGAGCATGTCTTATAAACCAGAGCCTGGAGAGACGCTGAGTGCTTTAGAGTGTGTACTGCTCTTCCAGAAGACGCAAGTTCAGTTCCATGTATCCTCATCAGGATACACTCTGCCTATAACTCCACCTTTGGGAGATACAGGACCCTCTGCAGGCTTTCATGGGCATGCACTTGCACACACACACACATGTGGAGTATATATATATATGTGTGTGTGTGTGTGTGTGTAGAGTATATATATGTATATATATATGTAGAATATATATATGTATGTATATATATATACATATATACATATATATATAAATCAATCTAAAAACAAAACGAAACTCAAAGGCCTTGGGCTAAATTTTTGCAGCATGGTGTTGGGCATCATACTGAATCTTGAACCCGAAGAGTGCCCCTGCTGTCCTGGAGACCACCACCACCCTCACACACAGAAGAGGCTTGGGGTTCGGAGAAGCTACCCTCAGTTGCAGAGCCTGGGAAGGCCTGTCTTTCATTGCACAGCTCGAAGCTGGTCTGGTCCTCCTCCAGGGTCCAATTATTTAAAAAACCCTGGGGAGAGAGGAACCTCAGGCACCCGAGGGAGCCAGGTGAAAATGAAGGATCTCAGGCCTAGATAATGAGGCAACTGAGAAGAAAGTGAACCACAGATACCAAGCCCCAGAAAGCTGAGTTCCGGCACAGCCACTGAAGCTGGCCCAGGGGAGGGAGGCAATCCAGGAGGGATCAGCACAGCTGCTTTTGAGGTCGTAGGACTTGAAGGCTGTGAGCCCGAAGCCATGGCCTCCAGTCCTACCCTGCTTGTGTGTCCACCCCAGCTGCCCCTCTCCACTCCCAAGCCATGCCTGCTTCTCCCAGGGAGTGGCCAGCAGAGGGAGGGAAGCCTTGATGCTCAGCCTCAGGGGACAGAGGCAGCAGTCACAGCTGCTGCCCCTCCACTCAGCTCTGGCCTTCTTCAGGGGCGGGCTCTGGAGCACCGCACTGCCAACCCCACAAGCCCACGGGACTGGGCACGTGTGTGTCCCGCTGCTGCTCAGCTGAGGTGTGCTATCCTCCTGGCTCCCTGCCAAGTCCTGTGCTGGCCCCCAGGGCCCTGTGGTTCAGGATATGGAATCCCTGTTTTCCCAGTTGGCCCTGCTGCAGCCAGACTCTTTTAAGCTGAATGGAGATGCTTAGGCAGGGGCTGCAGAAAAGTCCAAGGTCCATTTTCCCTTAGGTGGGTGGGGTGGGGGTGGGGGATTACAATAGGCTCCTTCCTGTCTCTTTTGGCATTTGGTTTTAGTCCCAGGATCAGTTTCAGACATGAGCCTTTCGAGATCTGCCATTGGGAGCAACAGCCTACAGTGGCCTCAGCTTGGCCAAGTGTGCTGATTAGCTGGATTTTCTTCCAGCCAGGCCTCTGTGCCAAAGGTGTCTCTATTTCAAGTGCATTTAGCTTGTTGTCACTGCAGACTGAGCAGATGTGATGGGAGGGGTTGGGAACATTGTTTGGGCTCTGAATCCAACTGCCTCTAAGCCTGTATTTGACAGCTCAAAAATAGGCCTTGTGGTAGGCTAAAAAAACTGGCCTTCAGAAATCTATCCCTGTCAACTCCCTGGAATCTGTGAATGTGTCTAAGTTATGGGTCTTGTGAGGAAAAGGAGTTTATCCTTGATTGTCTGAGTGTGACCTAAATATAGTCACATACTTTATGTGAAGGAAGCAGAGAGAGGCCTGGGGAGATGGCTTAGTGGGAAAGAACCATTGTTGCCCAAGCATGAAGATGGAGTCCAAATCCCCGGAAGCCACATAAAAAGCCAGATGTGGTCACACATACCTGCAACCCCACTGCTGGGGAGTGGAAACAGGAGGATTGCTGGTTTGCTGGCTGCTAGCCTAACTCCAGGTTCAGTGAGAGACCCTGTCTCAAGAGAATGAGGCAGAGTGTCGATACTCAATATTCCAATGTCGTCCTCCTGCCTCTATGCATGTGTGGGCATGTGCACCCACACAGACATGCACAGATGTCTCTCTCTCTCTCTCTCTCTCTCTCTCTCTCTCTCTCACACACACACACACACACACACACACACACACACACACAGAAGGCAAAGGAATACTGAGAGAGACAAAGAGAAGGTGATATGAAGATAGTTACAGAACTGGAGAGCGTGACCTCCAGTCAAAGAAAGCTGGTGACCCCCAGAAGCTACATATGGCAAGATAAGCTCCTCCCCTAGAGCTTTAGATTGGTCAAGGCTTACAGACCCCTTAATCTCAGACTCTGGTCTGCATAGTCATAACATCTTTCTGTTGCTTTTAGCCACTGTGTGATTTGTCAGGATGGTCACACAAATCTACATATTCCTTACGTTGTGTAGTTGTTGTGATATCCAGACAGAAGTGTGCATGGCAGAAGACAACGCCCAGTCACAAATGGAGATGGCCCGCCACTGACGATTGTTATACTGTTCTGGCACGAATGGGGATGTCTAGCCATTCGTACAGCCATACAGGAATACCTATGCACTGGGCAAATGTCCACCCCGGAGACAATCCGCCATCTGTGAGGAGGTGTGCCCACGTGTGGGAGCAGTCAGCCATGTGACTTGTTACCCTTTGTCTCCCTCTACAGGTGGGGTGTTCAATAATAGGTCAGCTGCTTTCAATACTCAGGCATGATCAGGACTGCCCAGCTTCTGGCCTAGAGGAAGGTAAGCCAGTGTAGGCAGACGAGATAAGCAGGAGGGACAGCCTCATTTTACAGCTCATTTTTCTCCTACTTGGCTACCAACTCCCTGCCAAATGAGTAGGTATAGTTGCAACCCCTGTACAATGGTAAATTCCTTTAGCTTGCTTCTGGATGGTTGAGTCACCTGGCATGAGAAAGAAGACAAAAAGGAACGTTATGAGATCAAGACTGACCACAGTCCAGGGTCTAAGAAACTGGTCACAGTTGAATCTTCTTCAGGAAGAGACTTATGGAAAGGATGTAGCTCATACCTGTAACACCAGTACTCAGAAGGCAGAGACGTGGAGATGGAGAATTGGAGCCCAACTGGGGTACTTAGTGAATCCAAAGCTTCCCTGAGCTACACATGGAAACAAAACAAAGTAAGCACTTACAGGAACAACAGAAATAAATCAAGAGGTGTAAGTATAAATAATGTGCCCCATCTTATCGTTCCCATGCCGTCCCGAGAGAGCCCTGTCCTTGTGTAGTGATAAAACGGAGGGCGGAGACCACATTGCCCCTTGTCGGGAACATTGCTCCTAGCTGATCTTGCACAACTCTCTTGCTGGCCCCAACCCTGGTCTTTTAGTCTAGTCCCTTTTTCTCTTCTGTAGGCTTTCAAGCACGTTCCTCATAGATACATACAGATTTTCAAGATTTCATACACAAAGGAGTGTGGGTGCTGTGAGAAAGTTTGTAATTTCGACAGTGCCCATTCCCAAGCCCTGGTCCTTATCCATGTGAGCTATGCAAGGAACTACTACATGCTGTGCCCATACTCCAAGGTCGCCAGTGATAGCCAGTGCAACTTCCTGGCTTAGCAGGTTCTCCTAGACGTCAGCCACACCACTGCCTGTATTCCTGAGTGTCTTCTAGAACAACACGACCAATAGCATGAAAGTCTATTTACAGGGAAATTGCTAGATTGGCTTACATGATACGGTCAGAGTAGCCCAAATGTGCTGCCTTACACAAGAAAGGCTGAGAACCCCATCTTCAAGGCTGAGTCCCTCAGCAGTGGGGATCCAGTACCAAAGGCCTGGAAGATTTCTGGAGAGCCGCTGAAGACTCAGGAGTGCCAGGTCACCTTCTACAAAAAGTGAACAAAAATAAAACAGGCGGTGGGTTTGGTGGGGCAGCACTTTGCCAACTCCTACTGAAAAATATTCTTCTTTTTAACACTTAAACGTTTTGTTATGAAAGTTCATTTTGTTTGAATTTGCCAGACATATCTTCATCTATCCTTCTCTTTTATATTTTTATTATTTCATGTGTAGGGGGGTTTTGCCTGCACATATGTCTGTGCACATGTGTGCCTGGTACTCACATAGGCCAGAGGAGGCCATCATATCCCCTGGGACTGGAGTTAGAGATGGTCGTGAGCTGCCATGTGGTACTGGAAATCAAACTCCATTCTGGAAGGGCAGCCAGTGCTCTTAGCTGAAAAGACTTTTCTCCAGTCCCTCTCCCTGTTTTTCAGCTTGTTACCTTGTTTTATTTTGACCTTTCAGAACATTATATAAATCTGTCTGGTATGTTTAATTGAATCTACCAACCCGCTTTTTTTTTTAATTTTTGGGTTTCTCTGTATTGTTTTGGAGGTTGTCCTGGAACTAACTCTGTAGACCAGGCTGGCCTGGAACCCACTGGGATCCTCCTGCCTCTGCCTCCCGAGTGCTGGGATTAAAGGTGTGTGTCACCAACGCCCTGCCCAACATGCTTCCTAATCATTTTACCTATTGCACACATGACAATTATTAATCTCTTTGGTACTATTTCCGTCTTCAGCCTTAGAACCAGATCTGGCCATTACCAGCAGGCTGGGTTGGCAATCAGAGCCCATGACTACAGAATGAGCTCCGGGTTCCTTAGAAGAAACAGGCCAATTTGCATAGCAGCTTCCACCTCCTCAGAGTCCCAGCGTCTCCTCGCCCCCTGCGGACTCACGTTCCTCCTCTTTCTGGGAACATAAACAATTGCTGGAGACAAGATCAAGGTGTGAACTTGTTCCGTGTCTTATTGGCCTTTTATGTCCTAGGCACCAGGCATGTGGCAGCATTACAGCTATAGCTCTCCCAGTCTAGGGGATTCATAGTGATCAGGAATGGTAACTGCTCTATGGTGAACCGGTCTCAGAGAAGCACACACAGACATCAACAGGAGAAAATCAAGATTGATCTGGTCGGTAAAGACACCATGATCCACTTTAGATTCAGTTGATCCAGTGGGTCTCAGCTCAGACAACAGAGGGGGCTCAATGACTGCTCCTCATACTGTGGGATGCCTCACCACAGGGGAGCCAGTTTTAGGCTGCTGCTAAGAGGTATAGATCCTGCCTCAGTATGGGGGGGTCAGAAAGCCCCGTGTCCCCATCAAGACTTGAGAGGAGATGGAAATTTGTCCTGACAGCCTTCTAGCCTCTCCCGGGCCAGGAAGATCACACGTGAGCTTCATTGTGTGTGGACAATGCCCAGTGCAACACTGTCACAGCAAAGCCATTCTTCAGCGACTCCATCCTGACTCTCACATATCCAGCTAAGAAATCTCAGGACCGCGGCCACTCCATCGGAGACTCGTTAGTTGTACAGCTTGGGATGTGAGAGGCCCGTTTTTCTTTTCTTTTTAAACTTTCTGGACCTACTTTATTGAATCTTTGAGTACAAAAAGGTACATGCTGGGCAATGATCTAATAAATTGTGTGGTAGTTGCAATCGTTTTCGTTGTTTGGATTTAAATTCCATTTCATGTGTCTTGAGTGATTTTTTTTCTTTTTTTTCTTTTCTTTTTTGAAACACTCTTATTTACATATCCATCCTCCCATTCCTTCACCCTCCCATCGTCCCATGCTTCTCACTCACCAACCCCCCCAACCCACCCACCACCCACTCCCCAGGGATAGTGAGTCCCTCTACAGGGGATCGTCAAAGTCCATCACATCATTTGGGGGAGGGCCCAGGCCCTCCTTTCCACATCTGGGCTGCAATAATATCCCTCCATAGGTAAAGGGCTCCTAAAGTCCATTTGTGACTTAGTAATAAACTCTGCCTCCACTATTAGAGGTTCCATAGACTGCCTTGGCCTCTTCTGAATACCCATATTCAGGGGGTTTGTTTTGGTCCAATACTGGTTCCCCTGCTTTACGACTAAGATCTGTGTGCTTTCATTAGGTCAGGTAAACTGTTTCTCGGGTATCTTCAGTTCCCTCTTGGTTCATTTGGTCATCTCTCCTCCCTCTCTGCAACTGGATTCCAGGAGTATGCCTCAATGCCTGTGGGTGCCTGTTTTTGCTTCAGTCAGCTACTGGGTCAAGGCTCTAGGAATGGTAACCAAGGTAGTCATCAATCTCATTATAGGGGAAGAGCATCAAAAGCAGCCTTTCCACCACTGCCTAGATTCTTAGTTGGGGTCATCCCTGTGGATCCCCTAGCATTTCCCCTGTGTTAGACCTCTCTCCAAACCTGTACTGGCTCCCTTTATCAAGGCATGAAAGGCCCATTTTATGTGGTTGGGGCAACATTGAGAGTTACTGTGATCCCTGCCTGAGTGCCTGCAAACAAGTCAATAAATATGCCAGTGGTCCAGATGTGGCCAGAGATGTTGGTTACTGTACGCCCCCCCAACACACACACACCTCAAGCTGCCATCAGAAAGCCCAGGGTGGTGCCATCGTGCCCCTCACATGAGAGTTTGAGATAACAAGTAGTCTGAGAACCATTCAAAGCAGTTAAACTAAACCATGGCAGAAGGAGGCTGAACAGAATCGTTCAAAGTTGACTTTATTCTATCCTCTCAAGTGCACCTGGTTCTTGCTGACTGCTAAGTGTTTGGGGAGCTTTTAAATTGAAATATTTCCTTGGCATATGGCTGCAGTGTTCCTCACACAGGCTGGACACCACCCTGAGTCAGGGTTAGATGTGGCAATCTCCCAGTTAGCTGCTTAATGCTTTCCCTCCTCCTTCACCTCTCCCTGGGGCTTCCTTAACCACATGGATAAACCTGAGGCCTCCTCTCCACCCTAGCGTACTGTTTCTCCCCGCTCTGTTCCATTCTTCTGTACCCAACACTATTTGCAGCTTGCTAGAAATCTTTCCTGGGTTGTCACTGTTGTGACCCCAGCCCCTACAATGGTGTCTGACACTTAGTGGGTGCTCACTAAGTAACTATTGAGTTGAATAAATTCCATCTAGGCCGGTTAAATAAGTTGACTTTAGCACAGACCACTCAGTCACAGGTTATACCCACAGATCTATCCTTGGTCAGAGAGCATGGCCATGGTTTCCAAGCAACACTAAGCTCAGAACTTGTGTTCTGGGCATTTGTTAAGAAAGTATTGAAACCCTGTTATAGGCAAATGTCATAGACAAATAGCTACCCTAACTTTGACCAAGGTCACCTTCCTGTGAGTGACAGGCCAATGTGTATATGCTTCTCATGTGCTCTGGTTCCATTTCTGTTGTGGTAGTAAAATACTCTTTCCAAAAACAATTTAGGAGAGAAAGGTTTGTTTTAGGCCACAACCCCCAGGGCACAGTTCATCACTGAGGAAAGTCAAGGCAGGAAGTCAAGGCAGGAATCTGAAGGCGCTTACTCTTCTACATGGCATTACCACCAGCCAAGGAACTCCTTTCACAGCAAATGAGGCAGAGGCAGAGACCATGGAGACGACTACTTGTTGGTTCAGAATTATTCTCAGCTAGGTTTTTAGACACTTCATGCCCCACGGCCGAACTGGCCCCTCCTACATCAATTAACAATTAAGACAACCCCCAGCCGGACATCTCTGCAGGCCAATCTGATCTAGGCAATTCTCAATTGAAGTTCTCCTCTCTGAGGACTCTGCTAAGTTGACATTTAAAGCTAACCAGGATCCCAAGCACTGGGGAGACTGCGGTTTGTGTTTGCCTTGAACGACAAATAGCACATCACATAACCTAGTCTGAACAATGTTAACACTTAACAGCATGGGCCCAATGTCTAAAAAGATTGCAACAAAATTCCAAACCTGAAACATTTGTTACAAACCAGCAAGGACAAACAAATCCTGCTGCTGCTATTTTTGCCTCCCCTAGAGGGAGCTCCTTGCCAGCCAAATCAAGGCGAGCTGGGAAGTGCTTGTTCTGAATGCCTTCCTTCTTTATGTGGTATTGTCAAAAGGAACATTGTTTACCCATTAAAATTCAGAGTTGATGGTAAAAATATATTGTATGACATTTTAAAAGAATAAATAAAATATAATTAAAAAGTAACAAAACAAAACACAAACCCTCTTAGCTGAATTCTCAAAAATTTGGAAAAACAATTTCCCCAAAAAGTTGTGTTGATTTATTAGTTTAAATACTTTTTATTTAGCCAGGCAGTGGTGGTGCACGCCTTTAACACCAGCACTTGGGAGGCAGAGGCAAGTGAGTTTGAGGCTAGCCTGGTCCAGGATAGCCAGGGCTACTCAGAGAAACTATCTATATATCTATATCTATATCTATATCTATATCTATATCTATATCTATATCTATATCTATATCTATATCTATATCTATATCTATATCTATATCTATATCTATATCTATATCTATATCTATATCTATATCTATATCTATATCTATATCTATATCTATAATTTGTGGGTCTACTTGGCTCATGGAGGGATGGACATAGGGGTGATTGGACAAGAGAGTCTGGCTAAGAGGTGGGACAGATCCAGAAGCACTGAATGTGGGCTGTGGGCACGGGTGTGCCCAGTGCCTTTCCCTTCCTCCCCAACCCCAAAGTTGCACTTTATTCGGTTCTTGCTTTGGTGACTGGGTGGGCCTGGACTGGTCCCAAGGATGTGTGCAGAGCTTCACCCTGCCGGCTTTACAGCCCCTTACACCCTCAGTCTGCTCTCTGACCCCAAGCCAGGGGCCCACAATGGCCTCTTAGTTCAAAACAGAGGTTCCTCTGGTTGTCTCCCACCACCCATACACACTGACAGAGACAGCAATACCACACCCCATATTAAATAAATGTGTAGCAAAAAATGGGGCCAAGCATAGTGGTGCACACCTTTAATCTCAGCACTCAGGAAACAGAGGCAGGTGATCTCTGTGAGTTCAAAGTCTGCCTGGTGTGTATCCAGGCTAGCAAGGGCTATATATTAAGACTCTGTCTGTGTCTGTCTGTCTGTCTGTGTGTCTGTGTGTCTGTCTCTCTCTCCACAAACACACACTTAAAGTTAATATTTTAAAAGAAATTGGAACTAAGATTATAAATATTGAAATCTAGGGAGCAGATTTCTAATTATTTACACATGATATGAGAATCTAGTCTACTTACATAATCTACTGAAAATCATTAAACTACTAACATACATCTAGGCAACACATTCTTACTGGTTTTCAGAACAGTCAGTTATTAATAGGAAACATGGAATCTTCTAGGCATACTTCATTGAAAGCCTTTCTAGAATCGGTGGATGCAGTTAGAAAGTAAATATCCTGAATTAGGAAGCAGAACCTCATGATGCTGGGCTCCTTTCCTTGTTGGGGACATTCGATCACACGGTGAACCCCATGTTTGCATTAATTAGATAAACTAGCCTCGAGTCAGGAGGCTCAGTTAACAACTGGTTGACAGAAAGTAACCATAGAGTGTCAGAGGGCATTGGAAGAGATAGAGAGACACAGGAAGCAGTAGGGAGGGATTTGGAATGTTGCAGATCTTTTTGTTTGGTGGAGCAGAAGAACTTTTGGGGGGGGGCAGATGCCAGCAAGCTAGCAAGTTTTCACCCCAGTCTTTGAATCTCGAGTTTTAGTTATAAAAAGAAAGATAGAAAATTAGCTAAAGCTGCCTTTAGCAGCAGCAACAGGGCTGGTGCCTATGGTAATGGAATCCCAGCCAGGCTGCAGCCTGAGCAAGCAGGCCGGTAACTGTGGAGTTTCGATTACTGGCTGAAATTTTGTTAGATTAAAGCACAGCCACTGTGCTGAAGTTAAAACAACACCTCCTCCCCTCAGAAGGCAACTGAGAGGCTGGAGAGATGGCTCAGCAGTTAAAAGCACTGGCTGCTCTTCAAAGGTCCTGAGTTCAATTCCCAGCAATCACAGGGCAGCTCACAAGCATTTTAGCCTGGAGATGGTGGTACACACCTTTAATCCCAGCACTCGGGAGGCAGAGGCATGCGGATCTTTGTGAGTTTGGGGCAAACCTGGTCTACAAAACTACACAGAGAAACTCTGTCTTGAAAAATAAATAAATAAATAGATGATAGATGGATGGATAAAAAGAAGGCAGCTGAATCTAAACTCCAGACCATCAGATCCTTGTAGGTCAGAGGTTAAATCACGATATCCCAAATTAAGAGAAACCAACTGCCTAGTCCAAAACATGAACAGACAGTTCCACAGAAAAAGAAAGGGCTGGAGAAAAATATACCAAACATATGTGAAGTTGCTGAATTCCTCCATAAAAAAATTAAAGGAACATATTGGTGACAGGTCCTCTGCGTTGGCAGGGGTGGAGAGAAATAGTCAGCATTATATATTTTGTTGTTCAGAATGTAAATCAGCAAAAAGTCTTTGGATAGCAATTTGACACTATCCATCAAGAGTGAAGATGTGCAGACCCTTGGCTGTAGCTCTTCTACCACTGGGTTTTTCCCACAGAAATATTCTTGGCAGGGCATGGTGACACATGCCAGTTATTGGGAAGGTTGAGGCAGGTGGGTCTTAAGTTCAACATAATGAGATGAAAAGCACATATTTAACACTAAAAGCAGATTAGGAGCTGCAAACATA